AGAATTTTAGTGTTTGTATGACTCATGAAAAACTACATGTACTTTGCTTAGCATAGCCTCTAACAGGCTTTGGGAGGCGGCTGGAAAGAGTAGAAAAAGGCCAAATAGAGAAAAGAGCATGCCAGAGGAATTGGTCTGCTGGAGAGAACAGTTTGCCGCTGTGGAGTCGCCATATCTTTGAAGTCCACTAACCGCTATCTAACAGGTGCCAAGTAGCTAAATTACCCTTTTATTGCTTTGCGACTGGGCCTTTTATGGACAGTGACACTAAAGTCTCAGACGTCCCGAAAATTTGAAGTCCATAACGGTATGTTTTCCCATCAAAAGAAACACAAAACTCTGAGAAAAGAGGACCCTATAATATCCAAGATCATCACGACCATATTTCCGATCAAGATATTTGTGGATAAGCAGGATGAGCCTGTTTTCAGCCGTATGCTGCCCTGTCGCTAGCGGCGTGGAGTACAGTGGCCATGCCGCACCCTGCAAATTATAATGCAGTGCAGCCGGCATTAATCCAGATCACCTCCAGTCATTCAAAACAAGAGTACGCCGGCATCTTCTTTCCACCACCAGGACTTCTGCATGTAGCTAGAACTTTGCAACTTTGCTGTAAACCAATGGTTAGCCAGGAGTGTTACAATTACACTAGCACATTAGCACATGATAGAAAAAAATCTGTGTCAACTAATATTACTTCCAATATCAGTATAACTTATATTACTATATACACACAAGCACACACACATACAGCCACGAAAACATAAAATTCTTGGCCAAGGTAAAAAGTGGAGAAGTCTCCTACCGATTTCACGGGCAGGCTCGTGGAACATGTCAATGAAGGACTGGTAGTCAATGAGTCCCTCAGCATTTGTTTCAGTACAGGACAGGAGGAAGTCAATTTCTTCCCTGTCAGAAAACGGGAAAGCAATTTATATCCTATAAATATCTCACTATATTGTAGACAAATCATCTCTATAGCAGTGGTAAAGAACACTGATGCATCCCAGTTGAAAGGGCGAAATGTTATTACCAAAACTTTTCGTGATAATACTGTGTATTTCAGCCATTAAAATTAACCAGTTACCTCCGAATCCTCTACTACTGGATAAATTACCGGTATGGAGATAATTTCCGGGAGTTTCGAGTGACATCCACCACTTTTCTTCAGCGTTACAAATGAACAGAACTCGTTAACACAATATACATGTATGAGTAACTAAAAATTACAGTTGAACATGACAAAGGTTCATATAGTCATTAATATGTAGAGGAAATAAGGTAGTTCCTATGGTAAGACGAACTGATCTACAACCTCACCTTAAACCAGGAGGACTTTGTGTAGAGCTCCCTTGTGGCTTATTCTCATTAAAATGTGCAGAATGGTGATTTTAGGGTCGAAAAATCGAGGAATCTTTTTTCAGGCAAACCTACCTTATCTTTTAGGAATTCAAAACACTTCAATTAAAGATTGCCAAAAAATGACAGCTTAGTTGTCATAGGAAGTTACCAAAAATTTACGGACATTAAAGATGTATAATTATTTATAATTAAAACAATGCAATTTTTTGTGCAGAAATTACACTGAAACATCAGAATGAACCGGGTTTATGATAAAGCTTGTATTCATGACATCACCTCAAAGCCAATTAGTTTAGGCGTCAGTATCTATGAAAGTACTTCAGAGGTACATTAATATTATACACTGGCACATACACACGTGTCGAACACATTAAGGAAGCTAAGTGTTGTTAACTTTGGAAGCAAAATCTCAAAGAAGGGTAGAACATTTGAGTCTGATGAGGACCTGGAGGGTTATTTTCCTTTCGATGCATGATTGTGTTTTCTACTTTATTTCCATTGATTAACTTTATGGTGCACAGGAAAAGAAAATTTGATGCCTTCTTATGTCTTTTCCGCTACAGGTGTAACCTCCGTAATGGAGGTTGCGAATGGACTTTTTTTTCTCTGAAAGATCTACAGTTTTTAGCTTCATCTTTTAGGAGCAAGAGAGCATAAGTACAGGCATTTAAAAACTGGGTAACTTTTACATACCAGGTGAAGTAACTAACATTGAAGGTAATAAACAACGGTAACAGAGGTTACAGTCATTACTGTATAACATTTTGTTCAGCAAGGCTGGCTACAAATGGCAGCATAACTCCTTTCTTCTTCTCTTAGAAACCTATAAAACTTGCAAAAAGGTATAAAAATTATAGTAATTATATGTCTTATATGTGGCTCTATCTAAAATGCATGACCGTCTTACTTGTGCGGTAACGGATGTTACAGAACTTGGAGACAGGTATAAACCACCTCGCACAACGTACAAGAATAGTGACAGGAGCAATCTGACTTGATCAGTGAAAGGGCTTGGCTATCCGGTTTCAACAGCCATCAAACTATTGTCGTAATTAAATTGCTACGTTTTAGACAGATTTTTAAAGTTTTAATTCTTTCTTAGGTGACAGCTGCTTTTTAGGGGGAGAAATCCAACCCATGGTCATAATTTCTTCCATCATCATCATCATCATCTTTGCCGCTTTTTTTCCAAGTCATCAATCAAACCGCGTGTTGTGATACATTTTTCATGAAACATAATGAGTGTAGTGGCAAAGTGAAGAAAGCAATAATGAGGTCTGTGATTTGACTCATTTCTAGTCGTAAAGAGCGACAACAGCATTTTGTACATTTGAATGAGAACGAGTGTAGTACGAAGGACCCTGCCCTATCACAACCTAAGGGACAGTTGCAATTCCTATGGTGTTGTCTTACCATAGGAACTTTTGTCATGTTTAACTGTTACAGTTTTTTCTAGTTACTCATACTAGTATATTGTGTTAACGAGTCATGTTAGTTCATTAGTGACGTTGAAGAAGCGTGGTGGATGTCACTCGAAACGTCCGGAAATCAATTTATCCAGTAGTAGAGTTTGAATTTCCTACAATGTATGAGTAACAATAATAATGTTACACAAATGATACTTTTCAGTCTTAGTGAACACGTCAGGCATTAAATAAAACTGTTCAATTGAAAGAGGTTTTTGAGTACAGGTCATGCACAAGTTACATGCTGGCCAACTTACACTGTCAATATTTGGGCTTATCAAATGAAATATTTATCAAATCTGCAAAAGTCCATGCAAAACATTCCTCTGTCTGCACGTTGGATTGTTGAGGCAGAGGTATGCCCCACATCACAATGCTATATGTATGCACACAATATAATTGCTACTAACTCTTCATAGATCTTCTGGCTTTCCATTGCCTTTCTAAAGTCCTTGGGTGAAATGTATGAATTGTCTGCCATCTCCTGTTAACAACAAATAAATGTCAAGACATTTGTTCAGTCATCATCACTTACCGGTAACACTTCACACTACAAGGACTGATGGGAGAAAATGGGACAAACCATACAGGGGATTATGGCATAACATTGGGAAAATACACAAGATGATCCAATATATACAGTCATGTAGATACAATGAAAACTGTAGTGTTAATTGACAGTTATGTGATTAATCCTTCCAGTGTCATTTCCCACTGGTTAGTAATTCTGACTGGTCCTGACACTGGGAGGGATAAGCTATATAAGGCACTTCAAATTAAGCAGTTTCTATAAAAAAAGGAAGCAATAAAATGTAACTGCTGCATGAACAATCAACTTGAAGAAGTTCTCCCCCCTCTTAATATTTACAGATACATGTAGCTCATTTTGAAACTGTATTTTTTTTCTGCAAGGAATTTGTACGTATATGAGTTAATTCTTTATCAACATTTTATCCTAAATTCCATCTGATTCAGGATTCTTTCAATGGGCAGGAGTGTCAATATACTGTTACAGTAGATAATTATGGAGTTGTGCAAGTATTTCTGATGTATGCCTGTATCTAGCATATACACAATGTATATGTACTGGTCCATCATAAAGCCAGTCTGTTCCCAAACAGTTCAGCTTCCACCACCTATCAGACACTCTTTCAATCTCAGATCATTCTAGATCGTGAACCCCACTCGTTCAAACGAGGAGTAAATTGACTGACGCCACTGAGGGTTATTTTTCTTTGGATGCAAATATTATCTACTTTACTGCCAACTATTATGTTTATGGTGCACAAGAAAATGAAATTCTATCTCTTGTTACATCATTTCAGCTACAGGTGTAACCTCCATTACCGGTAACACAGATGTTTTTGTTTATTTCTCAAAAAAAATCTCATTCTTCATCCTTTAGGACCAAGGGGGCATAAGTACGGACATTTAAAAAATGGGTGACTTTTTACATACCAGGTTAAGTAATTAAAATTGGAAGTAATAAACAACGGTAACGGAGGTTACATTTAACTGTAAAACATTTTGTTCAGCAAGGCTGGCTACAAATGACAGCAAACACTCCTTTCTTCTTGTCTTAGAAACCCAGAAAACATGCAAAGTGTTATCAAAATGGCAATTACTTGTCTTATATGTGGCTCTATCTAAACTGGATGTCTTGACCATCTTACTTGAGTGGTAACGCAGGTTACAGAACTTGGAGACAGGTATAAACCACCTCGCACAACGTACAAGAATAGTGGCAGGAGCAATCTGACTTGATCTTTCAGAGGACCTGGCCATCCGGCTTCACCAGGCAGCAAACTACTGTCGTATTTTAATTGCTACGTTTTAGGCTGCTTTTTCAAGATTTTATTTCTTCTCAGGCGACAGTCACTTTTAAGGGGTTGAAATGCAACCCGCGGCCATAATTTCTTCCAAGTCATCAATCAAACCTAGTGTTGTGGTACATTTTTCATGAAACATACATGTAGTAAGTGTAGTGGGAAAGTGAAGAAAGCAATGATGAGTTCTGGAATTTGGCTCATATCTAGTCATAAAGAGCGGTGAGAGACAATTGTTTAACTTCAAGTTGGTTGTCACAAATGACATACATTGTACTCTTATGATAGTATATCATTATAAATTGCAGGATAGTTGCAGGTTAGTTCAGCTGTACATGTCCGTGAGTGTCCTGCGATGTTCAAAATTTTCCAGCAATTGTACCATGTTTTGAGCTAGTTTCCTTCATGTTGTATATTGTAAAGTTTGGTTCTGCTAGGTTCTGCTAGCTTTTGTTCTGTTCCAGCACCTCGCCTGGCCTCTTCCCCTTGGTGGGGACAGGCTCCTTCTTCCTGGAAACCAAATTGTCCTGACTTGATAAACTGAACAAAGAGACAGGGCTAAGGTCTAATCTTATCTAATATGCATGATTGTGTATATCATAGACATGACAGCTGTATGTATCACCTGCAAGTATGGTACAGGATCTGATGTGGGAAGTTTTACAAATGAAGGTAGCCGTTGAAGCAGCTTCTACAGACTTAAGGTGCACTGTTTTCTGATTGCCACTGAGTTTTGATGACTATAGCTTTTAAACCATCATGTTACTTACATGTAGCAAACAATCAAAATCTATGGATTTGTCTCCTCATGGTGCTCAGCCATGGCTGATTTTACCTGCAATTGACCTAGATTGTTTGAACTATGATATGTTAATCCCTCAAATTTAAAGAGAGAGTCCTTGATTTTCAATTAACTTTCATTCACTTAATATATTGCCAGTTGTTTATTCATGTCCCTCTTTAAGCTTCAGTTCAAGCTTAAGTTCAGTAGTTACGTTACCTGGAATTATGCATGTTTTATTATAATTTGTTTTCATGACAGACAAATGGTTTTGCTTTATAACCGGCTTTATGTTTGTCACACTTACTTACATGTAGGCTCAGCCAAAGCATCAATGTTCTATGTTGTGCTCTCCAGTCTGGCATCTCCAAAAAATATCTGGCATCTTTTGTCTTCCTTTATGTATTTCTTATGTTAACCGGATAGACCTCTACCTTAGACCATTTAGTTACTGGAAATAGTGGGTTTGGTTTTATCACAGTAGTAATAATATCAAGCATTTGCTTTCCCTAGGCTGGGGCGAAATTGTCAAATCTTCAACATGCCTTGTAATTTCTATTGGTTATGTAAAAGTCTATCTCTTTTGTTCTTCGGTCAGCAATGTTTACTTTGATCACCATGCATATACAATGTACTAGTACATGTACATGTAATTCCATTCCAATTTGACTCTGAAATCTTGTGTCATGGATGTTAAAAAGTTTGAAAATAAGTGACAGCATTACAGACCAATTATAGTTACAACTTGAAATGACACAGATAAAGGCAACAGGAGGGAAAGACATGACAAACAAATAGCAAATTGACAAATACAAATAGACATTCAAGAAATTTATCTCTATCACAGGAAATTGAGGAATATTGTGCAAGAGTGATAAAGAAATAGACTGTCAAGCAGTTCTCTCTCTGAAACTGCAAAACTGTATTTGAGAGTGCAATGTTCTTTTTACAAACCCTCATGATCATATAATGCTGTTATATAATTAGTTACTACACTTTAAAATTTCCACATCGCATCTGCAAGTCATAGAGTTGCTGGATAAAGAATATGATCTCTGCATGCAGAATGCTATGTACTACTGTAACATAATACATGCAGAACTGATGTACATTCAAAAGGTGCTAATTCCAACAAGCTGTCAGACCCCTGATGGGCATACATCTATACATGTAGGTGGCATTCAGTGTTCTAAATCTATTGATTAAAGCAATTCAACTTCTAGATGGTGAGTTTGAATCTCAACATTGCTGATATGAGTTTTAACCCAAATACCAGTACCAGTATTTTTGTGGGGGTAGCTGTCTCCAATCTTAACAAATAGTTTTTCTCTCCCATTGGATTCTATGTCATATTGATGTGCTGAATGCTCGGATTGTCACCACAAAGAAAGCAAGATGGAGTCCAACCCTTCAAGCTGTGCAAAGGTCAATTACATGTATCTGCACTCACACTCAACGCTTATCATGAAAGCTCCTTAACTCCCAGCTAACGTAAAAAACATTTTTGCGCCAAAATGCTTTGAGACCAGATAAACCTTGGGAACAACAGAGTAACAGTGCAACAGGATAATGGTGGGTGAACCATGAAGCCATGCATCCATTCTGTATATTATGTTCATGTACTTTTCACTGTGGTGCTAACCTTCCAGATCATAGTAATGTTATTGTTTTATAACAAAATTGTAAAAAAAAGAAATTTGTTTTGTCTTAACTTTATTTTCTTGTTTGTCCAAAATGATGTAAAAAAAAACATGTTTACAATCGCAGTAATTGAGTAAATAAATTAAACATAAATTATGTTAATGACATGCAGGGTTTCACTATGTTGATAGAGGGCGTTGTACGCACTAAAAGCATTAAAGATGGCCTCTGCCAATTTTGTGTTCCTTGGACGGTTGTAGGTGGTTCAAAAAAGATTTGGGTGTTCGTTTTTTTTCGGTCCCCCCCACCATCACTTCAGATAATGTTACATGTACATTGGCAGGGTCACATGTAATATTACATTGTAGAAAAGGTTTAATCAACATAATTCATATACTTGATTCACTTAGTTGATTACTGCAATGATAAACATTTTTGTATAATTTTGGGCATACAATAAAATAAATGACTTCCGCAATGAATAAATGACTTCTTCAAATTTCAATAACTGGAGAAAGTCTTTCAAATGGCGTACCTGGCCAAAATGCCAGCTTTTTCAAAAGCACTTGTTTCAGTGTTACTTGTCATGGTCATGAAAGGGATAAGAATGTCAAAACCACCGAACAAAATCATTTTTCTGTTTGGTAAATATTTCCAATCGCCATGCGTAAGCTACATAATTATACATGTACTACTAAGGAAACAATTCTGCCATGGGAATATCACTCATGAAAATACTCAGCAGAGAAAACTCCAAGAGACTGTAGCAAAATGTGAGTGAAAGATTGAAATGTTGTTGTTCCATTAAGGTCTAAGTTTAATGGTTTTAGTATCACAAACTATATAAGTTTTTAGAATAAAAATCAATGAAGCTTAATGATCCCAATCACTCTGACTTATGTTTTCCATTTTTCCTACCAAAAACTGAATGGACTTACGGGTCTTCTGTATGTTTTCTGTACCAAAAATACATGCACTAACATCTAGTCTTCAGTTATTTTCTATTGTTCTTACAGTTATTCTTAAAACCAACTCCTCTGGCTTTGCAACTGCAGAATTAAGGTTTGCTCCTTGATTGAGCATTTATTTTAGTGTTGAGATCTTTTTCATGCTTTTCTGCGTTGAGTGTTCAGTTCTTTGTTCCCACCAAAACTGTCACGCTGCAAAAAAGATCTGTTTAGTTTTTACCATGCATATCCATACTAGGTGAGAATCACAGGCTCAATTTGTGGGGAACAACAAACCACACAATTTGCCCCCTATCCCATGGCAGCCATGCACCTGCTAGGGAAAGGGAGTCACAAAACTGCTGATGTTACATACATCTCCTCTCTCTTGTGCATTTTTTTCCAAGATGGCCTGTGGAAAAACAGTGGCAAAGTCTCAAAATTCATCACAATCACAAGTCATAAGCATTTTTAAGTTCAAGCACCATTGGAAACACCTCATTAACATGACATAGTGAGTTTAACAGTGACGTTCCTCTCTTAGGCAGCTAGATAAGCTTAGCCTAGTACATGTATTAATAAAATATATTTAGGAGGGGAGGAAAAAAAAGTAGGTGTTACTATTTGCCAGTTTCAGGCTACTGCGTAGGAGTTAATTGGACAAGAAGGGGGAGGAAGAGGAAGGCCCAATAAAAATTCATTAGAAACGCATTTGGGCATTGTGTTTGGTGGTACTTTGTATACAGTGATTGTAGCTGTAACCTTTTTGTGTTTGCATCGCATTCTTGCAAGGCACGAGGCATATGCAGGCACAACTTAGCAAAATAATTTCAGCAAAAGGATGCCCTTACTGCAAGCATTTGATATATTTATTGGATTAGCTGGAGATCATCCTTCCTAATAAGTTTTGTGCCCTCCAGGATTCTTATCATCCTTCTGGAGTATGCAGCACAACAGAATGAAAGTCATTTTAAGAAGCAATAAAAAATGAAGAGCTTTTTAATTCATAAATTATTTCATAAATGAATATAACTATTGTATGCCCTTCCAAATTTCTGAAACAGGCACTGTAGGGAGTTAAGATAAATAGCACACAAAACTCGTCTGCTTGGTACAAATATCTCAGTTCACAACTTCTTGTGTCTGGGTGCTATGGCTGGAGAAGGAAAGTAGAGTAAGTCAGTGAAACACCACCTCTAACATGCAGCAAACATCAATCTTACATACATTATTAAGCTTTGTGGTTATGGTAGTGGCAATGGGATAATGGTAGCTGATGCTGTTTTAAATACAGTACATACATGTAATACAGTACATATCCCCCTTGCCTTGATCCCTCTGATGAAGTACACATACATTGTACAATGTAGAAACTAAAATGTGAGTAAATATTAACAGCTAGTTTGTAAAACCCCCCTTCTATAGACTGAAAGCTCTAATGGCCCCGAAATGAAAACAGTGTAAAACAAAAAATCAAAAAGAAAGGCTGACATTTGCATTCAAGCAAATATAGCATATTTTACTATTGGCATTATTGGCTCTTCATACCAAATATGGTCACACGATGACACAGTACATTTTGGTCTGAAGACAGCCCAAAAGGGGATTCCTTTGGATTTGTGTCCAGGTACCCCATACCAAATTTCACGTCATTTGGGTTTAATACCAGGACTCCAAAATATACATTGTTTGTATCTGAAAAGCCTGTCCAGGGTTATTTGTCAACTCTACCTCCATGCCAAATTTCAGATCATTTTGCCCAAAATAAAGAAATTGAATCCATAATGAAATGACATGAGCAGCAGCAGCAGAAGAAGAAACAAGTGAAATACCAATATAAAAAATGTATTTCATACCATGGTAAGTAGTGAAATATAAAAAAAAGAGGAGAAGGAGGAGAAGAAACATATAAGGAAAAGCAATATATTTCATCCATGGTATGGGGTTAGATGGAGTGAAATATAACAAAGAAACTATAAGTCTCAAAAGTTGTTTTCAGGACTTGCAGGTGAAATGAATGACAGGACAACAGATTATAATGGGAGATCTAGAGGGTTATGATTTTAGCGCTCGAATGCAGCTATGATACTGTACACAACCAAATGCACAAATTTGTGTATATCAGTTAAATACCTTGAATGCATCAGACTCTGTAACCTGCTCCAACTTCAAGAACATGTCAAAGAACTGAAGGATCATCTGTAATGAGAAATCAAGAAAAATCTTTTAGGATGCTGCCTTTCTAAAGAAAGTTATATTGAACATCAACATGAATATTTACCTTCGCCAAGAAGGTTATGTTTTCAGAGGTGTTTGTGTATGTGTGAGTGTGTGTGTGTGTCCGTCTCGTCTGTTCGTCCATCTGTGGACACAATAACTTGAGAAGGGATTTTAAAAATGGATTGATACTTGGTAGCTGGGTAGGTCTTGACCTGGAAATTTTAGACCCCCTAGCGGCTTGTTACGGTACTGCAGCTGAATTTCCGGTTTTGATATCTCATGATCTAGACATGCTAGGTTGAGGAAATTTGGATGGTAGGTAGCTCTTGTGCTGGGGAAGAAGTGATGTGAGTTTGGGCCCCCTAGCAGCTTGCTCTGGAAGAGCAGGGCTATCTGTTTGAAAATATTCAAAAGAGGATAACTCAAGAACCGGTTGACGGATTGTCATGATTTTTGGTATGTAGGTAGCTTACGTGATGCTTGATATAATTATGTGACAATTATTCCTAATTTTTGCATAATTTATGAGGGAAATTCTATAAATCAGCTGCATTCCATTATAGGAGTATTGAAGCTTGTGACATTGGTAATTGAGAATGAAACACAGGCAGATATTGATTATGTAAATGAAGACTTAATTTGCATAATTAATGAGAAAATTTATAATTATGTAATGATAACTGCCTGGAATTTCATACTTGTGGTATTTGAAACTTAAGGTGAAAATCATTAAACAAAATGTATTCAAATAAGGACCTGATTTGCATAATTTATGAGGAAATGGTAGAATGGCATTGATTGTTAATGCACACTGTACATGACTGTCTTTTGGTTGAGAATATGATAAATTGATATAATCAGAAAATGAGGATCCTATTTGCACAATCAGGGAGTATAATCTACAAATTGTCAGTCATATAGATTATATAAAGACTAACATCATTTGGCGAAGGTATGAGATTGGAGAACTCTAGTCCTCTGTGTTTTGGTGTTGTAACCTAGATCAAACTGAAGGTACAAACAAGAATAACAAGGCTGGCAATTAGAACTGTTGCTTCTAATTTATGATTTACAACATGAACATCATCAAACATAATTAATTCCAATCAGGACTTAATTCAACATAATTTATGAGGAAATGCCATAATAGCTTTCGTGTTTAGAATAAAATTGCATTATGTAAAACAAGTGGTCAAAAGTCATCTACCTGAGTTTTAGATCTGTAATTGGCAGGGTAGTCCAACAAAGTGTCCATTTACACATAGACCATAACGAGAAAATTTGTTACCACAAAAACTGTTGAGAACATGACCTTAACAATATTAATTGTCAACCCCTTCTTGAGGTACTGTACAACAACCAACCAAAGTCGCAAGTAAAACTGACCCCTGCAGTTTAACAAAAGCTTCAAGTACTGTAGGCCCAAACCTACACCAATTCTTCACATGACCAAGAGCTATACCAAACAAAAATCATGATGAGATATCCTACAAGTGTTGCAGTACCATGGAAAGCTGCCAGGGGGTCGAATATCTAATCATTTTTTGATAGGTCAATGCCTACATGTAACAGTTACACAACTGCCAAATTTCATGACAACCTGTCAGTGAGCAGGTGTCAACCTTTCTAGTAATAATCATTTATTATATTTATCTTTGTCTGACATAATTATGACTCATAATACTGCCACTAACCACATGCATAATACCAACAAATTGAAAAAAATGCTGAACTGAAAGAGATCTACTACAGCTGTAACAGAAACTGTAAAGTCAGAAATTTTCAAGGTATCTAATATACTCGTACCTCAGATATCTATAACTATTTGTTCAAAATATTCTTCAGAAGGCCTCAATAACCATGCATTAATGAGTTATCATGCTAAACCACATCCAAACAAAAATATCCAAACATGACCTTTGAGGCAAAAGTAGTACTAGTAGTAAAGACATAATGGATGTTATGTGACTTTCATGTATCATCATACAACTGTGTTCTGTCATAATGATATACAATGTCATGTATTGTGTGTTAAAAAAACCCTTACCTCTACATTTTGTGATGACTCAACCAACATGTCTACCATCTGTTTTCCTATGTTGCCATTAACAACATTCCCTATGGAAGGAGACAGAAGTTGCATCAACATTGTAATTTTTGTGGGAAAAGTTTTTCATTCATGAAGCTAAAAAGATTTAACAACACCACCAATGACTCAGTTTTCTTCTTGCCTTGTCTTAGGTGAGCTGATTAGGTACACATGTATTATGTAGTCCACACTGGCTGTATGTATAGGAAACAATGCATTGATTGTGATTAAAAATTATGTGGCAACAAGGGAAATTCAAAGAGGAGGCAACTTACCTTCCAACAAGGACAGCAGCATGGTGACCATGTCAGAATGTAGTGATAACAGAGCCTTCAGTAGGTTCACTTGACTGGAATCCTGAAAGAAGAAAGCATGGATTGATTATTATCTTTTAAAGTTGTATTAAAAAATTTCACAACTTTCCCAGATATATTGGCCAGGTACATGTACACTCTCTTCATATCAATAGTATGATAAAGAGTCAATTACCTGTGCCAGTTTCTTTTGCAGATGAGCAAAGATGTAGAGAAACCCTGTGATGGCATCCCACAGCCTGCTATGGGCTAGGGTCTCCTGGTTACCCTGGCATGGGCCCTTTGTAATAAAAATGAGGGGTCAATCAACAGAACAAGAATAAATAGCTACATGTATTCTCCACAAAGCCTCAATATAACACATTGTTTAAAGATAACACGAAATCAATAGTAGTAGTAGTAGTACAACTGTAGTAGTAGTAGTAAGCCTTTATTTAAACTCGAAAGCTTGTTCGGTACATACATTTGACCGCTTATGACTAAGACTAAGTTACTAAAAACATGTATGATAGTTCCTGAGAATAAGCAGACATGATAGGTACTAGTAAATTCTATTATTCAAAGGAACAACAACAACATGGACTTTGGACAAAAAAAGGTTTTTATACTTTTATGGACATGTTATATACATGTATTCCAATGAGAATAAATTATGCTTTTTACTTGATGCCAAAATATTTAGGTTTTGATGCGCATTATGGAAGATGATGCCCCAATGATTGTATATACAGTCTGCTGTATTTTGCAATTCTTTTGTATTTCTCTAGTCAGTATCCAATTAAAGTGTTATTAAGAAAAGTCCAAACCACAGTAGTCAACTACATGTATTATACAAAATAAACCTGTAAAATCACCTCACCTGGATGAACTCTGTAAGGGAGTTGAATACTTGTCTTGCTATCCTGATGGCAATCTTGAAATATTCTTGCCCCTACATATTGAGAGAAAGCAATTACTGGCAAGTCCAGTAGTTTTTTCTCAATGAGATCAATGTGCAAATTTTCCTTTGGTGGCACTTTTTCATATGATCTTTATCGGTATCGGTATAGCCGTTATAACCCCCCTTCAGCATAACACAAAAGCTTAACACATCGTGAAATACGCCGCGTAACACACCAGATTTTCCTAACTCAAGACTGCAGGACTGGTAAGCCACATTTCTAAAGCATTCGCATTTGACTGAGAAATCTTCAAGAGGAATCATTTTATGACATAGATTCTATAACACTAGATACAAATGTAAGTGCTAACAATATGAAATTTTCTGCAGACCAACAGATCAAATATCATATTCTGATACACACTGCTTCATCAATGAGGTCCTTGCTTGCATAGTGCCAGTAAAAGTCACTCATGGACTCCTGTAGTCTGAGCAGATAGTCTACTGTGCTGATGATGAGGTTGATTGTGGCATTATGGCCAATTTGGGCTCGCAAGTAGTTTTGCCAGTCTGAAAACAAAGAAAAGAATATTAGAGACAAATCCATGATCAAAATCATTATGTGCCATTGGTGATTTCTGTTGGAAATGTTTACCTTCGCCAAGAAGGTTATGTTTTCAGAGGCGTTCGTGTACATGTATGTGTGTGTGTGTCTGTCTGTCTGTCTGTCAACACGATAACTTGAGAAGGCCTTGATGGATTGTCTTGATACTTGGTAGGTGGGTAGGTCTTGATGAGACCTCAAAATGATTAGATTTTGGACCCCCTAGCGGATTGTTATGGTACTGCAGCTGAACTTCCAGTTTTGATATCTCATGATCTAGACATGTTATGGTGATGAAATTTGGGTGGTAGGTACAAATGTAGCTCTTGTGCTGGGGAAGAAGTAACGTGAGTTTGGGCCCCCTAGTGACTTGCTCTGGAACTGCAGGGATATATTCTTGAAAATATTCAAAAGAGGATAACTCAATAACCGGTTGACGGATCGTCGTGATTTTTGGTATGTAGGTAGCTTACGTGATGCTTAATATAATTATGTGACAATTATGCAAATATGGATGTAATTTGCATGATTTATGGGGAAATTCTATAAATCAGCTGCATTCCATAATAAGACAATTGAAGCTTGTGACATTGGTAATTGACAACGAGAGAAACACAGGCAGATATTGATTATGTTAATAATGACTTAATTTGCATAATTAATGAGAAAATTTCATAATTATGTAATGATAACTGCCTGTAATTTCATACTTATGGTATTTGAAAGTTAAGTTGAGGTGAACATCATTAAACATAATTTATTCAAATCAGGACCTCATTTGCATAATTTATTAGGAAATACTAGAATGCCTTGTTTGTTTATATAAGACTGTCTTTTGGTTGAGATTATGATAAAATGATATAATTCATGAAAATTAGGTTCCTATTTCTTAAATCAGGGGGGAATAATCTAATCTATAATTTGTCAGTCATTTGGCGAAGGTATGAGATCGGGGAACTCTAGTTTTATTATATTTTAGTCATACCATGCTGAAATAGCTGAAATGTGGTATAGCTGAAATATATTGTTTTTCCTGAACTGATGTTTCTTCTTCTCTTTAATTTCTCCTTCTGTAATTTTGTTCAATGGATTCAATTTCTTCTTTTTGTTTGACCAAAATGACCTGAAATTTAGTATGGAGGTAGAGTCAGCAAATACCCCCTGGCATGTTTTTTTCATTATCTTGGTACAGGCTTTCAGAATTGTTCTACTTGGGCTTTTTGGCTGTTTTCATAGGAAATGTACAAATGTTACTACAGTAACTATGCCAGCGTAAAATTACCATATGCATATTTGGCAGGTGTGACCATATTTGGGCACGGAGACCAGGAGCCTGGTATTTGCAGGTGTGGCTCTGATTGCAGGTGTGCTTGCTTATTGCCTGTTGTCAGTGTTGAGATGATGAGTTATGTGCCAAAAGAACACCTGCATAGTTTTATTACTAATAATAGGAACAAGCAAGTACCTTGTCTTTTACAAGTATTGGCCAGGAATAAGGAGTGCCTTATCAGTGAAAACATGTCACATAACATACATTCTTAATATATACCTTGCTATTTTTAGGGGGGGGGCACAGCAGTGATACTAAATCTTCTAACCAAATTAGCCGCAGATAGTGGCGTGGTTTGTTTGTTGACATTGTTTCTTATGATTATGGGTTCTCTGAATAATTTTGGTATAATATCTGATGCAATTTTTATGTACTATTACCTGCAATCTTACACATACTAGAAGAATGCATTTTTCTAAAATTCAATATTTGACAGGGCTATTATATTTATCTTTGTCTGGTATAATTATGACCCATAATACTGCCACTAACCAAATGCATAATACCAACAAATTGAAAAAAATGCTGAACTGAAAGAGATCTACTACAGCTGTAACAGAAACTGTAAATTTCAGAAATGTTCAAGGTATCTAATATACTCGTACCTCAGATATCTATAACTATTTGTTCAAAACATTCTTCAAAGGCCTCAATAACCATACATTCTATGAATTTAAAAAAACAAGGACAAAAGTTTATGGTCCCTTGTCAGGGAAGAGCAATGTGAAAGGAACATACCACCACTGCCACACATGAAACAGATATTTTCAGCAATGTATACATGCATGTACTTCATGTCTGATTCCCATAATTTTTGTATCCACATCTGTCAATATCTTTGTCATTTGGGCACTCTCTAGCTGCTATGAAGGAAAAGAACAACAGCTGCCTTATACAGATACCCAATATACATCTACATCTTGCAGATAAGTCTCTTCCTGGCCTATGTGACCCTCTTCTAGCAAAACCATTCTCAGCAGATTTTGGCAATTGTCATAAGCTGCGATTAGCAGGACTAGAGACTCAATAAAAACCAGGCATAACTGCATGGTAAAGGTTACTTGGACAGGAACTGGTAAAAAGCTGGGGTTGCTCCTTTGCTAAATTGTAAACATTGTAAACATGGTGTTGTTAGAGTAGACATTAACTTTCTCTATTGACTTCCTAACTTGGAACAGAGTTTTTACTGATCTTATTATGCACAAGTACACCGTGTTTGTCTGCACATCCTAAAATGATTTCTCATAGTTCCTACCAATGGATATAAAAACATACAATGTACCACACCATATTTTACACACTAACACTACAAAGTTACTGCACTTATTACACCTATATGATAACTACATAATTATATAAGGTCCCCAACTAATGGGTGATAAAGTTATTACCTACCCAGATTGTGGCCTTCACACAGCAGCTGAAGGAAGCGGAACAGGGAGCAGGTGAAGGGTGCGTCGTGTAGAGCACGTTGTCCTGTAACATGGAGGTGAGTAGATATTTTGGTGCATCATGTATGTTTAACACTTGAACATCTGATTCAAAAGTACATATAAACACTTTACATCCTAGTCTCTACTGCAAAAAAGTGTTATGGTGTTAAATACTAAATGGTTCCATTGACAATTTGTAGAATATTTCATCCATCAGTGACCTTTTTGAAAGGTAGCAAACTTTTCATGTCTTGTACGTCTTGATCTCGCAAGAACACAAGACTAGATCAAGACTTGTGTAGGTCTTCTGGCCTCCCCTGCCTCCCTGCCGGAGCAGGCCAAGGGGTAAGCAGGACTTGGTCAGCTCCCAACCCTCATTGTGATTCATTCCAGCACGTTCCAACTGAATGTGGACTGTCTCCTACATGTAGATCAAGTCTCGACCTAGTCTCGTGTTCTCGCGAGACTAAGTTACTGATCAAGCTGTACAGTGGACGTCGAAAATTTGGAGGTACCTTTCTAAAAAGTTACTGATTTGTGAATATTCTACTAACTGATAATCTATACGTTACTGATTAACCTCTTCAACAATAATGGTTCCATGTTGGTAAGTAACACTCAAATTGAATAATATCATTCTGATCGAAAAATGAGAGGTAATTATTGTGAATTGGTGTTTAGAAAATCAGTACTTTGGGATGCAAAAGGACATTATCTGAGTCCTACATGTACAATGTAGATCAGAGGTACATGTAACGTTATACGTGCGCAAAATTTGATACCCCTTTTAATTTACCTATTTGTTTTATCAGCAAATCATAAAAAAAGCTTTGCATTGTATCATTCATCCTAAGTTTTATATTTTAATCCTACCAGTATTATCTTGATTTCTGTGTTCTTAATGCTTTTATAAATATACTTAGATATACATGCTAACTGTTATGAAATTATGCAAAATAGGATTATGGCATTTATCAAATACATCATCATCAGTGGGCATTGCCATCAAGGAACAGGGAATACATCACAATCAAACCTGTTAATCAGTTAACATGTCAGAGTTACAATGTAAATTAAGCAGTACCATTGCCTAGTCAAAGGATGCTGCACAGTACCACACACTATTCAGCAGGATCTATTACATTAGCATAAAAGCACACATTGTTACATATAAAACAAAGAAAAAACAAAACAGCATTGAAGGACAGACACACACTTCTTGCTTGAAATTTCATCTGGCTTTGAAAAGTCATCTGGCTTTGATATGGTAGGAAAGAATTGGGTAGAAGTGTTAGGCTCTACATTTGTATGAGGATAATGATCATACAGATTAATCAGTCTAAGAGAGTGTACGTATGAGGTCACAAATGTAAAATTTACATACATCACTCTGCTTTTGTAGAGAAATAAAGACTTCTTGAATCATGGACATTTGAAAGTAGCAGATCAATATGCCAGCTAACTGACAATGCTTTGATGTTTCCCCCACTGCACAGTCATGTCACAGTCAAGAACTTGGAATCTGATAAGTCTGTACATTAACACTTCATTTTCATGTAATGTATTTGTTGCTTTTCGACAGATCAATAATTCAGTAGAAAAATGGTATGTTTGTGTACAGAAATGTTCAATAGAAAATATGAGATTCATTTCCATTACTCAAAGGACAGGCATCCAAAATGTCTTTAAAATTTGGATGAGTTAATCTGGAAGAATTTGTCTGTCCTGGTGATTAGGAATGAAGTGATGTGATAAATGTAGGTATGAAGGGTAAGATGTATAGCAGTGGAAATCTACAAACCAGAACTGAGCCCTGACGGAGGTGACAGGGATGGAAATGATGTTCACGGAAGTGAGAGACCGGTGGAGGAATGAAGAGGTACTGCTGGTTAATACTGACATCACACCAGTTTGGATAATTTTCTCTAAGCTGATGTACAAGTACATGACTCATGACTAACAAATATCATGCACTTGATTGACAGACATCTGAAGTAGCCATATTACTGTCATTCCCTCGCACAGATACTCTTTTCTTATGCTGATTGAAAGGTTATGGCAATAGAGTTTCTCAGATCATCTGACATACAAGATGTAAGAGACTGAAAGGCACAGCAAGGTACAATAAAACAAGGTTCGTTTTGAGTTTTAAATGCCAAAACACTGATCAACAAAGACAATGTCAGTTCACCTTTATTTGTTATGTTCATATATTCATTCTTTTAAAAAAAAGGAGAATCAAGGGAAATATGCTAAAGCAACAATTAGCAATATCCCCAGAATTGGAAACCTGAAAATGTCATGAGCTCAAAACACCATTCGGAAAGCTTCAATAATCATGAATGAACACACCATCCACACAAACATAAAAGACACTGATGCATAACACAATCTGTACACAGACCTGTCCGTGGTGCTGATCACACCATCTACACATACAGGACACTGGTACACAACACAATCTGTACACAAACCTGTCCATGGTGCTGAACACACCATCCACACATACAGGACACTGGTACACAACACAATCTGTACACAAACCTGTCCATGGTGCTGAACACACCATCTACACATACAGGACACTGGTACACAACACAATCTGTACACAGACCTGTCCATGGTGCTGATCACACCATCTACACATACAGGACACTGGTGCACAACACAATCTGTACAGAAACCTGTCCATGGTGCTGAACACCATCTAGACATACAGGACACTGGTACACAACACAATCTGTACACAAACCTGTCCATGGTGCTGAACACACCATCCACACATACAGGACACTGGTACACAACACAATCTGTACACAGACCTGTCCATGGTGCTGATCACACCATCTACACATACAGGACACTGGTGCACAACACAATCTGTACAGAAACCTGTCCATGGTGCTGAACACCATCTAGACATACAGGACACTGGTACACAACACAATCTGTACACAGACCTGTCCATGGTGCTGATCACACCATCTACACATACAGGACACTGGTGCACAACACAATCTGTACAGAAACCTGTCCATGGTGCTGATCACACCATCTACACATACAGGACATTGGTACACAACACAATCTGTACACAAACCTGTCCATGGTGCTGAACACCATCTAGACATACAGGACACTGGTACACAACACAATCTGTACACAAACCTGTCCATGGTGCTGAACACACCATCTACACTTACTGGGCACTGGTGCACAACATAATCTGTACACAAACCTGTCTATGCAAACACACCGTCTAAACAAGCACACTGGTGCACAACACTTGGTTGGGGGAGGGGGATTATTCAGGGGTACCTTGAAATGCATCTTCAACAGAGTAATGAACATGAACAGATGACTATTTGTCCTGTCCAGGAAAAGTGTACAGAACCACATATACATCCAATTAACCATGGCAATATAAATTGGAACAGCTGCTGTATAAAGAAATTTTCAGCAAGATGATTAACAGCAGTGAACCTTAATCTTACGCAACCTTAATCCAACACTTTTCAACACTGTCTGTTAGGATCTAGGACTGATAGGCAAATCTTTTAATTGCTTTACAAACTCAATAAGGTATACAGCCTAAAAACTTGAAACGGTGAGCTCACGAAGTCAACATGTTGTGGAGACGAGGTCATGAAATATTCAGCTTGTTTTATACTGGTAGGCATGTCGTGGGAGGAAGCTTCTGGAAGGACAGTGGTCAAAATTTTTAAAGATTTTCTAAACTGTCCTGCAGTTCCAGAACAAGCTGCTAGGGGGCCTAAACTCACTTTTTCCCAAGCACAAAAACTACCTACCATCCAAAATTCATGACCCTAGCATGTCCAGATCGAGAGATATCAAAACCAGAAGTTGCACTGCAGTACCAAGGGAAGCCACTAGGGGGCCCACAACCTAATCGTTTCCAGCTTCGGTCACACCCTACCAACGCACCAAGTATCAAACCAATCCATCCAGCTGTTCTTGTGTTATCTTGTCGACCAACAGAATGACAAACACAACTGAAAATAACCTTGATGACATTTTATGGAGGTATTGAATGTGCAACAAAAAGAAATGAACGTTTACTCCTTTTTTTCAGATTAATGTCGATTGACTCTTAATGAAAACATTACAAATAAAGGTGAACTGATGTTATCATACCGTCCTAAACAAGTACATTTTCAAGAAAACTGATTTGTCAAGTTGTCAGTTTTACACTTTTACACTAATATCAGCCACGTAATTATGTTTCTATCACTTGACACAATCCCAGACTGTTAATTTGGTCCTACCACCATACCGCATAATGCACAGTGTAGACAGTAAAATGATCATCTTTGAATTCTTAGACAGCTCTTATCCCCATTTATGTAAGTAAAGCCTTGAGACTCCCTTTTACAACAGTCAAATACAACTGACAGTCATCATACTGCCTCTGTTCACTACCTAACTACCCTGGGTGCCAAACTGGTTTTGGGCCGCTAGCAATTTCCTTCGGCAGCCAAGAGCCCTTCGCCCACGGGTCTAAATTACCTACGGGAGACCAGCCAGTGGGGAGTTTGGCTGGCCCTTTCAACTAGGGCCGGACAAACCCCTCGGGCTCAACTCCCCCGTAGCGGTAATTTAGATAGGCGGGCAAAGGGCTCTTGGCTGCCGAAGGCAAACGGCTTACGGCCCGATACTAGTTTGGCATCCAGGGTACTACCTAACAGGGAATAATCAGTCAACTTAGTATGTTGAGAATTTGCATCTATCAGGACTGTTTAATAAAAAAAATTGCCTGACTAACCTCCATTTATGTAACGTCTGTGTCCATAATATCACCAGGGTCCATAATATCGCCACCTTGAGAAACAGTGTGCTTAAAGATATTTTTACTGCAACATGCTTTTGATATGCACTCCTGCACACATCAAATGTACATACCTAGGGTATGTTGCAGTAAAAATATCTTAAAGCAAACTATTTCTCAAGGTGGCGATATTATGGACCCTGGTGATATTATGTACACAGATGTTATGTGTGATGCTGAAATTATGAACACAGCATCCAGCAAATGAAGGCCTATATTTTGGAGAATTATCCAGTGACATATATACTATCAACCATTCAGAAACTTGTAAATGTAAAGATCAGTGTGCATCCTGTGAAGCACAGTATGTCTCACTGATTCTGGCATTCTTTGCCAGGAAATCCATTATCTTCATGCTACTCCCCAAATACTGTAAACATGACTGTTGTCATAGAGGGTTACAATGTGCTGCACAATGTGCCTGTACGCACAGGAGGACCTCGTGTCAAGGTAAGGTACTTTAGTACCTGGTACGTGTTGCATTATTCCCTCTTTGGCAGCATGCACAGAAAAAAAAAGGGTTTCAGTTGAAAGGATACACAAGCTGGCAGCTGCAGGAGGGTATGGCCTAGCATCATGATTATTTTTATCATGCATTGGTCTTTTATTTGCTCAAGCAGCACTTTCCACACAACATACTACATGTATTTAGCCATTCCTGCAACATTACAAATTCTAGAAAAGATTTGTCTAACAAAAGATACACAAATGTATTGTAAACCCTGAACTTTTCATTTTGTGTGTCTTAACAAAAATCAATATTTTTAGCAAGTAAACAATATATGTAAGCCTAAGGTACATGTATTACTTAAAATAGCTTACAAAACTACATAGTACTGTTCTTTTTTTAATATAACTAGGAAACTCTTTGATATAATGTGTACAGAAAGCATTAACTAAACCTCTGTCTCTCTCTGATGATGACACATTTACAAAGTCAACTACAATACAGAATGATGGATTCTTTGGTCTGTCACAGAAAAAACATTTTAGCATAAACTGAACATACACCCACCATCATGAAAATCAGCATTAGCATATTAGGGCACAAAAATTCAATCAATCGGTTCATCATTCACCTTCATTTTTTTTTTTTTTGAATTGAAAAAAAAAAGAATTCAGATTCTGAATCAACTCCAAAGGGGTTATATTTTGGCCACAATAGTTTTTAAAAGTCCAAGACCTTTACTTCCTAGTAGGCCAATTTGCAGGTGGTTTTTCTTGAGATTCTTGGCTGTTGAGATAATTATCAGCACCAGGTGTTAGAAAAATCATATAACCTGTGAGATGCTGAAGTCACTTGGGAACCTGCCCTACCATCCGCCTGACACAACATCAACTCTTGTACTCAAACAACAGCATCAATATTGTCTTAGCTTTCTTTTATCTTTCATTTCCTATGGACTGTCTTAAAATGTTTTGTTTTCAAATTTAATTTTGGACCGGGGTGATTATGGAAAAGTCATTAAGTGTGGAAGTATCTTTGGATTATTCCATTTTATATGGGGGTACCTATTCTGGAATAAAGAGAAATTTCAAGACAGTACAAATGTATTTTGGGTTGAAACCTGGCTCAGTTTCTGACTGGGATGAATAAGCAATCGTTCTCTTTCAGCAGAAGTTATTTGGGAATGGTCCACTTTTTGCTCAGTGGTGATTTTAGAACAGTCCATTTCTGTATGATGAGACGGTACGAAATATGCTGTATTTGCTTGCAAACAAATGTCAGACTTTCTAGTTTCATGCTACATGTATATCAGTTAATGCTTACCTGCTTCCCCAACCCCCAATCCCTCAGCTTTGTTGCATCTCTCAAAGGTGTCCAGGTCAAGAACACTGGGGACATATAATGCCATTAAAAGCAGAACTGATATTATGTCGGGTAGTAATAGGTTGTTGGTCCATTTAAGTTTCATTTTAAAACTATTCATAAAACAATAATCATGCATGTATATCAACTTCCCTATCCTACTTGAATTCAATGAAGATTTACAAACATTTCCTTTACAGTCACTTATACCCTTCATCAACTAAATATTAGTTAGATCTGATCAGCTTTTGATAAACATTGCATGTAGCTGGGCCAAGAGTTAAGTATTTCTAGTGTCATGCATCAATAGGAGCAAACAATCCACATTTGCCTGGCAAGCTCACACATCGTTCTTACAAGTACATGTAATGGTATATGGCAGCAGTTCATTGTATTACATTATATTGTAAAGAAAGCCCCAGAATAATGATTTATACCTATCAATTCATTCATATTAACAAGGATAGTGGCCTACCCCATATTCATGGTGGCAATGATAAACAGCAAAACTTCAGCACAGTCTGCTGTCAGAGGCATTATTATTTAAATGTCTGGACGAAAAAGGACAAGCTAGAAAGCATTTAGCATAGCTACAATGGCCTCTAATTCCTAGACAGTAAAATTAAGGTTACATACTTGCACTTGGACATTAGTCCTGCTATACTCTGGAAGAAGCCAACGTCCTTCTTCTCTTGCAGATGTTGTAACATTTTCTACCAGAGAAGAAAGCAGCTGAACATCAGGAAGAACTATGGTCATAAAAGGCTCCTCCACCCAGGAGGGTGGTCAAGCCCTTAAGGTCCCAAGTTCTCCCTAGTGCTCTACTTGCCAGATTGACATTCTTCAGAAATATGATGCTCCAATACAATTCTTACAGAGCAATGTGAGGTAAAATATGAAGCAGAACAAGACTTGATGTGCCCAAGTCTGTTCCTGCAAATAACAGTCACATTGTTCTGCATGAAATGTAAAGAGACAGTACAGAAGAACATATTGTGGAGTCATGCCTGTATAATGTCTATACTGAATAATGTCTATGCTTAGGCCACACTGACTTGATGTTTATATGGATGACATACTCTGAAGACCCATATACTACATGAATGTAAAATCAAATCAACATGGCCTGATGACAAGTTATCATGATAATGTATATTGTAAATGTTAAATAACAAGAAAAGTCAATGCTGTCACAATATGTTTGAGATAAAACTGAGGATAATCTATATTTACTGAATCAGATGTCAATGGGCATTAACGTTACCTTCTGAACATCCTCATTGCCTCCTGACAAGAGAGAAATTCCAAGTTGAAGTGTACGTTCCATCATAGGACTGCATTCACCTGAAACCATCAGAACCACCAGAAAGTCATAAGTTGTTTACAAATTAAAGTAAAAATAAAAAGATTTTTTTTTCATTCTTCATACTTACAGTTACTGTTACGTACCCTCTTGTTGCCTTTGCCAGAAAGTTAAGGGATTGTTTTGGGTATGGTGACGCGACTGTGGATTTATGTAGCATAAGTCTTATGAAGCCATGGATGGATGTTCATGATTTTTGGCAGGAAGGTTACCGCAAGGGAACACAAGGGAGTCCAAACTTACAACACTAAGATCTCTGCCCCAAAAACTTATGCACCATACAAAAATCCAGACAATTTCTCTTCCAGAACTTGAACTGCTAACAAACAACCACAAACACAAAGGTCCACTGCAGTGAGGTAGGGACCCCCCACAAGGCCCATTTTTGAACTTGACCTTGGTGTCCTCAACAGCAACTTGCCTACCAAAAAACCATGAACATCCATTTACTGGCAAAGAAAAATGACAACAAGAGCTCCACGACCTTCATACCTTGCCAAGTGATGTTAAACATTCCGACTAACAAAATTACTGGACCAGGTATACATTTTTCATTTTTCTCATTGATTAAGAAAATGAAATTCTCTTTTAATTTTCACTTCAATTTCTTGGCCAAATAAAATGAAATTTGGCATGAAGGTACATGTAGAGTGGCCAAATACCCCCAGACTTAAAAAAAATTTTACTGGACACAGGCTTTTAAATTTGTTATGACTTTGTGTTAATATGGTGAAACATATTGTTTTGCCTCGTGTCACTGTGCTTTATATATGTAGCTATCAACAACAATTCATTCACCCCTTTTTTTATAAACCCCTTTAAAATTGTATAATTTGGGACTTTTGACGGTTTTCAATGCCAAATCTACTGTATAGTGAAGTATGACTAAGGTCTATTTTTGGCACGGAGGATGTGGTGAAGCCATTTTTTATGAATTGTCTTGATATTTGGTATGGGTATGACTTGATGAGACCTCCACATGATAATATTTTGAGACCCCTGGTGGCTTATTAAGTAATGCTTGACATAATTAGAAGACAGAAAATCTATAAATCTGCTACATTTAAAATGTGACATATGTAATTGATAACAAGAGGAACATTAGCAGATATTATGTAAATGAAGACCTAATTTGCATAATCAATGCTGACATCATGATAGTGATTGAGTGCCAGCAATCTCATACTTACATATATGGTGCTAGGAAGTTAAGTAAATGTGAACACCATCAAACATAACGTAATTCAAATCATTTCCTCATTTGCATAATTTATTAGGAAATAGCCTACAGTCTTTTCTGCAGATAAGACTGCAGGTTATAAGGTGGTAAATATCATGATGTAATTGATGCAATTGAGGATCTTATTTGCAAAAAAAACATCTATAATTCGAGAAACATTCTATAATTCGACTATGTTACAAATTTCGTAACATTAACATCATTTGCATGGAAAAAGTGTGAGATCCTAGAACTCAAGTTTCATTTGTACTCCTGATTCATCCAATATTCTTTCATCTTCTTCTTTTCCCCCATTTTGACACATTGTCATGACCAGTGAGCCTAAATACAGATGTCCACAATATTGATTATTGAATTGTTTTCTGAAAATGCATGACTCCTATAAAGTCCAATTTCACAGCCAACATGCATGACTTGTACATAAACATCATATTTCTTACCTTTGCTGGCACTTATGGTAAGTAGGACCATTTCTGCTGCTCCACGCTCTGCAAGTCTGCACTGCTCATTTAGCAACTGTCTACTTGCCATTTCTTGTTCCTAAGTTTTTAGAACAAGGAGAAAACATGATTATAATAAGCTGCTGGCTGAATAGCTGTGACTTTTATGCAGTATATAATAATATTTATTATTTCCAACAAGTTCTATATATTGTTAGTATAAAAATATACACATACTATGCCATATGCCACACAAGTATACAAGACATACGTCTGCACAGAAAGGTTGCCCCACAAATCTGGAAATGGAAGGGAAGCGTCGAGTTCTTTATGCCAAGATAACGATGTGGGTTGTCGTTCCATTGCAAGCCCAGCACCTAATCTTAGAGAACATCAATGACATTTCCATAGTTGCCCAAACAACAGGGATAAATATGATATTAGAAAATGGTTGTTGCCAGTAGTGGTCCACAACGTTCTCATTTTGTAGGTTTGGGCCAAGCCCCTACCACCACACAAAGTTTGAGAAAATTTGCAATCTCTTTGGCCACCTAATGCTTGGTTTTCAAAGACATCTGAGAAGGGGTTTTAGAAACCACCTAGGCCTCCATTGCATTGAGCTAGCTCAATGGAGGTTATTAATGCAGCCCTGCTAGCTCTGCACACTATGAAATTCGATGCATACAATAGTTCCTATCACCTTTAAGAAAAGAATATGAATGCATTAAAAAAAAAATACACATGGTTTACACCACACACGAGGAAAATCATCTCTAGTTTACCAGGTACAATATAGAAACAATAAGGTGAAACTACTTTCATAATACAATAATAATCAAAGTTCATGGGCCACAATTTATCCTGCTAAATACAGCGTTATTAACTATTATCAGATAGCCAGATGACGTTGACCAATCAGAGGCACCCATTTCCTATGGGTTATCAGGACGTAACCGCAAAAGTGGTCAGTTATAAGAATAACTGTGTCAGTGACCATTTGAACCGTGCCATTTTAAACAGGACAGGACGATAATAGTCAAGTATTTAAGTATTTATCTATTATATCTATTAAACAACCCATTGTACTTTATTCCAAAGATTTTATTACCTTTGCCAAGAAGGTTATAAAGTTTTCGTAGGCGTTCGTGTGTCTGTGTGTGTCCAGGACTGCTTCAGTTAAGCACTGTCTGTTGAATGGTCAACACCGTAGCCACACTGCAAACACCATTACTTAAACTTCAGAGTTGTGTCCAATGGACTCTTGTTTTTCTTGAAGGACATGTGAACCACATGTATTCTTTTATTGTGTGTGGAGCTTCAAAACAGTTTTTCTTTCTTGGGAGCTCCTCCATAGAGCTGTAACTTATTTTTCTTGAAAGAGACCTGAACCATGCATTAGTGTGTGATGGTTGAGAGCACCTCCAGACAACACTTTTCTGGAAGGTGATGTGAACCTATAGATGTGCGTAGAGCCAGCAAAAACACCAGGGCTGTACTGATCGCCTCCCTGCTCTTAAGCTGTCTCACTGCAGGGTTCTTGGTGCAAATGCAACTGGCGCATCACCCTACAATGTCTTGTATTCTTGGTATACAATGTAAAATTAAAGTCTATTTAATGATGAAACAACTTTTTTCTTTAAATAGGGAGGTACACCTAAGATGATTGAGATTCTGAACGTTGGATTGGAAAAATAATATTGACAGAATTAGAAAATAAAGTGACACCTCAAATGTCGGGCCTTCTCCCTCTTCTTCCTCTCCACCATCCTCTTCTTCTCCTTCTTCTTCTCCACTGCAACTCTACAAGCAACAGAACAATTATTAAAAGTAAAAATTAGATCTTACAGTTGTATACAATATTCGTTAAAACACATGTCAAAATTTTATAGGGCAATGTGAAGAAATGACGAGTCATACCTTGCCCATGATGTCAGCATAGCACATGTAGAGGAAATCTTCATCCAAAGCCCTGAAATAATGAAAACAAGTGTCCATAGGCGACATTCTCCGTGAAGTTTTATATTTTGCAGATTGAGAACAGTATTATATATTGTATGTTAACAGTGTGTGATCACTTAAAGTGATATTATGTAGGATTTTCGCGCCAAAACTGAAATTACAAATAATTGAAATTTTCTCATCCAGATTGTCATTTTCGATAACTTTCAACGTATTAGCGTCGCTATTTCGCATTTTCGGCAACTCAGCGCAGCGCGAGAATAAGTTGTGCAAGGCCATACGTATTTATTTGTGCCCCAAAAAATAGAATGTAAACAAACAACGGTTTTCGTTCGGAAATCTTTTGGCAACTTCCGGCGCGTGTCTGGGTTCCATGGTTCGAACGCTGGAGTTCGAAGCCGATTGACTTCAAATTTTAGCCAATTTTTTGAAGGGTCAGTACCTAATCTAAAATCCTCTTTTTGTATATACTTGAAAGTTATCCTGTCACTTATCATATTGCATGTGGTAACCACATTCATACAGTTTCTCATACCAAGGAATGAAGTTTATGACATTACACTAAATGTATCAAAATGTAGCGGAAACTCAGAATGGTGTGCGCCGGTAGCTACAACTGGGCTAAAATTTCGTCACCGCGACGTGTGCACCGTCGCGGTTTTCTTTGGGGCAAACCCGTTTGTCCTAAAACTAACCGGGGGACTTTGGTATCGATGTAAAGGTGATGATGTGGGCTATCACACTGTGGTATTAGCTAATGGGATCCAGTTGGCCAGTAAAAAAAGATAAGCATAGATAAACTGACCAAAAAATGCTAATGTTTGGAAGGCCATAATGATCGCTGTCATTTTGTAATGCACGAAATATCTACATTGTTGTACTAGGCATGTAGATATGAAAAAGTATAAACGTTACGTATGTCTAAGGTGTTTTTGTTGCAATATTGACAGTAACTGTTGTCAAATCGTCACCCGGCATATGCCGTATTTTAGAGAATAACGTGTTCTACGGTGACCTGCGGTTCGGCTGGATTCGGGAATGCTCGGACGCAGTCGGATGTAAACAAACATGGCCCCGATCCGTGCTAGCGCCGAGAAGTGCGCAGTTTTCCAACACGTTTTTGCGGCGTAACGACGTTTATCTTTTGATCCCTAAATGTCATTATGAACCCAGGTAGGCTTACAGAGCAAGAAAATGTTTAAAATAAAGATGTTTAAATAGTTAAAATTCTACATAATATAGCTTTAACAACTGGTAACAACGTATCGTAAAATGGATCAATCCCAATGGTCAAATACACATAAGATCTACTACATGTAAGTCTGACTAAAAATAAATCACGCTCCTGGTGGCCACTCGCCCAAACGTGATGCAACTGTTCATTGATGGTTACTGATTATACGGACTGCGCTGATATTGCTGACTGCTTTTTGGCTTGGCCAGTCGCACTGTTGGCCATTATGCAACTGTTGGCCAACTGTTTCAGATTATTTGCTTATGAAAAGTATTCCTTATTTAAGTGGTATAACAGGAACGGTAAGACGGTGGGTTGTCTATGTTATTAGTGACACTGCCATAGGTCTTAGGTATTACATTTAGGTCTTCAAAATGCCTTTACAAGGATCGGAGGTAACAATACAGGCTTCCCTCCTTCACATTATTCACATTATGATAGAATTACACAGTTGGACTTGCTTACAATACTCAATGATATGTTAAGAGTACACATACTCTTGTTGTTCAGCTGCTGCCCTGTTGAAGCAGCTGATGAGCTGGTGGAGAGGGTCAGGTTTGGGAACTTCATCCTCCCCTACTTCCCCCTCTGCTTCATCTATTTCCTTCTATCAAAAGAAAAATCAACACAGACGTATGTATTTCTCCCATACACATACATGTAACTCAGTAATGTTGGAATAAGAAATAATGAGCCACAAATAACATTTGTCAAGACATGACTCATTTTTGACACATAACACATGAATAACAACAAAATGGTATTTACATGCTGGACATAAATCAACAATGCAGATTTAGAGGAGCCTTACTGTGAGTTCTCTATAATGTTTGCTGTAGCTGCTTCTTCATTGCCCAGCCACTTGTCCATGTATGAGTGCAAGAACAGGTTGATGGCCTGATGTCTGAAAGACAGTGTTGTGGCAGATTTGCACACATCAATGAAACAGAACCAGCTGTCATCAACTGTACAAAACTGGCATACTATGTTAAAGGACAATCTGGTAAAATCATGATTATCATTATAACAGCATATAATCTAACATAAAAATCATAACACAATATCCTCGATGTAACATTCTTTGTCAATTGCAATGTTACATGTAACGTCACATGTATGTCATGTAAAAGACTGCTACATTTCTTCATCATCAAAACACTGTATGCCCAACAGAAAAATTCCTACACATCTGATATACATGTACATTGTAATCAACTTCATACCAAAGTGTTTTATCATGATTTTTTTTACATTTATAATATATGGGAGAATTACATGTATGTATATACTTTCTCTACATGGATACATGTATGTAATGCAAATTCACATACATGTACATCACGTTTGCATCATACACTAACATGTCACTAAAATACTTCTGTCAAAGGACAGTCAACTGGACATGTTATATAATACACAATCACATAGACAATACAATATTACAGAAAGCAGCAAAGCACTGTTAATTTTGAGAGACTGATTACATGAAACATTAGAGGAAGTATAGGCATCAATCTAACATATAGTGGTACAAAAACATTCACTTTGGTACTTAATCTTTAGCACTTGCAATTGGATGTTGCTAGCTAGTACATACTGAGGTAGCCTGTGCATGGGGGGCCATCCTGAAACAGCCCATGACAGCCCTCTTCCGCTGAGTGGACACCAGCTTTGTCCAACCTTTCATGCTTTCTGGGTGCTCAAACTATAGTGAGAAAAGCCATGACAGGAGACAGTGACAGAAAGTACAGACTGAGAGAGAGAGTAGAGGAACAGGACATGGAGAACACAGGTGGTACATGTGCACACCAGCAGGTAACACGTATACATACTCAGGGAGTCTATGCATCGGGGCCATCCTGAAGCAGCTCATGACTGCCCTCTTCCTCTGAGTGGAAACCAATTTGTTCCAGATGGTGCGACCTGTGCCTTCTGGATGCTCAAACTAACCATGCAATAACAGAAGAGTTATATTATAATAATATATGTGTGTGTCTGTAGATATCACTCACTCACTGTAGATAAATATATACAGTAACTGTAGATTTTTATGAAGATAATGTTATATAATTATATTATATAATATTATGTACATGTAGCTATATCTATCTATCTATATATCTACTAGTAGATACAAACATGTATATAACATTACATACACACATATATATATACATCTACATATACATGTATATATTTTATATGTTCATTCTGCCCATCAACTGTGAGCTGCTGAAGACAGTGCAGTGCGTTATCATCATCCACTCATAACTTTCATGGGGGAACAAAGAACCAAGAATTTCAATCGGTGTTGCCTAGAGAAGGTCTAAATTTGTAAGATACACATATCAGCATGAGAGTGATTGTCAGAATAAAGATGTATTCCCTACCTTGTGCAGTTTGTATATGACCTGTGCAACCTCCTGCACCTTGTCAATGATCTCATCATTAGTTAGATCAGCAACCCCAAGTTTGTGTGGCAGGTTGGCATACAGTTCTCTTTGCCACTGGTAGCTTGGATCATCAGAGGACTAGACAACACCACAGCAATAACAAACAGTTATCAGTCACTTGTCAGTCAAAACAGTTAACATTATTTGGTGAAGGTATGAGGTTGTGTAACTCTTATAATTTAATGTAAGGCCACAGCAAGTATATTTTATGGATGACATCCTCCACAGACTCTAAATCTAATGTGATAAGGAAAAAACAAGGTGGGCTAAAAAAAAGGATTCCCACATTTTCAAATTTTGAGGTCATCAAGTTTATCTTGTAACAACAATTGAGGTGAAAAAAAAACATGATCATTATCATATCGTAACCAACAGGTCTTTTATTCCTGTATTCAACAGTATTGGGTATTATTAATACGTAATGCTGCAACAACTTCTGACAGTGGCTGACAAGTACTTAAGAATGAAGTATGTTAACATGCTATCATGATGAAAAAAAATCGGAATGCCTCAGAATCTGCTATCCTCTCTCCAAAAATAAACTGCTACTTTAAAATGAAGACAAGTGCTTACCTTCTCTAGAATAGCCATGTTATTCTTAAGGTAGTCCTTCACCTCTACATCAGAATCTTTCTGTAACACAGAAGGCATCTTCCCATTTGCACAGTTTCAAACAACTCTCAATTCAAAAATGTTGCAAGGGTGACCTACATTGCAGTTACTGTATGTCTTTCTTTTCTGGATACACAAAATATGTATGTTGTGTGTGCAACATCCTTTCATTTAAATGATATAGTCTGCTGACTTTCTCTTCTAACTTTGTTACTGACTCCCTGTGTGCTACTTTATATAATCTGAGGTTAACACTAACTACAAAAGACAACAAATTGTAACACATGATTGTACAAGCTTATTAGGGGATCATGAATCATAATGAGTTACATGCAGGGGGTGGGCCTCAAAAGCACACACACACACACCCCCGGGCTGAGCATGCCAAAAAAAGCCCGGTCTGAATAGGGCTAAATGTTATACAAGTAGATACCTCACACAAAGTGTGCATAACTGGTTAATATCTAGGTTAAACTATAGTGATGTGATAGTAACAGCACACAGAATTTAGTGGAGTGTCAAAATACTTAGACGTAATGAAAATGTGGAATTTTCATGGATAAAATACTTGCTACCTCCTTTTTCAGAAGGTCAGTCACACTGCCTGGTGGAGCTTCCAACTAAAGATGAACAAATGAGGTGAAACAAGCTAAATGGAAGATATGTAAAACAAATACAAAAAAGCGAAATGAAGCAACGAAAATATGTAGCCTACTACAAGTTACAGTTTATGAACAAAACAAAACAAAAAATGTTAAGAATATAATACCAAAAAGTCCTACAAAAGTGTGTGTAGAACTACATTTGTACCAGTAAAACTCAGTAACATTCTGATCTATAGAAAGTCACGACTGAGACCAAATTTTCGCTTTTGCTTTGTTTTCAAGTTAATTTTCCTTTGCATCAAAATGAGATCAACAACTATGACAGTCACTATGGCTGAAGGATGGTCTAGGAAAAACCAATTATAGGGCTAATAATAACCCTTTTTCTATTTCTTCTTTTTAACTGGGATTTATATTTTTAAGGCAGCCCTAATAAAAGGTGTAGTTGTGTGGCTGAACTATTGTGCAGGAGAAATGGATAGCTGTGCCATGAATATATGAAAACTTGCTGGTTTTGTGGTATTGTGTTACATCGTAGGTAGTTAACTGGCTGAAATGTACATTTGTATCATTATACACACACTGACTCTTTTCCATCAAGACAGGCATATAGCTATTGAGGATCATACATCATGTATGTTATGGAGTGCCATTATTATCCTACCATGAGATATCTCAGCTTGGCTTGTTGGACAAGGTCTTGTTCCCTGGCCCCAAAATCATTAAGGCCTACTGGGATGAGACGTTTCAGAGCAGCCACAACCAGGCTTGTGCTGTGTGAGTACAGATCCTACCAGAAAACAAGCATGGGTAATACTTTGAACCACACTGTAAGATACAAAACATGATTTAGGACTCACATTGACACAAGGCAACATTCAATTTGGTAGAAATGTAATAATTAATGTACTAAAAGCAACGAGTACTTCACAATTTTAATTTAGTTCAGCATGAAAATAACAAGTTACTAGATGTAAGGACAAAGTAACTTGATACCAATTTACCTTTCCTCTTTTTCTTTTGTTGAACATTCCAGCAGTGGGCCTCTTACCACTGGTGCCAGCCAGGAAGGCCTTAAGGTCAATTTCATTTTGTACCACATAATTCTGTTCTTCTCTCCGGAAGGCCTAAATTGATATAATAAATTATGGTAAAATATGGAGCATTGTACCATGCATAGAGACAAAGAGAAAACAAAACACACATTTGGGCAAGAAGTCGAGAAATTATGGTGTCTTAAAAGAAGAAATTATAATTAATAATCAACCTTTATTACTTTCATTATATTAAAAGACCATCAATTTCAAAGTCCGCACTCTTTGGATGCAAACTCATTGATCATATGGAGCTTCACACCATGTGAATCCTGTGAAGCCTGTGCAGCACTGTAAGGCCAGACCATTTTGTTGCTTCTCAGATTTTTTCAGAAGAAAAATGGAGCAACAGGGAAAAAAAAAATCCAAAAAGTCTGGGGTAAAAATATTATTAGAGCTTATAATAATTAATTACATCACATACAGAAACGCAGGATTACAATGTATGGAAGTTGGCAGCTTTTCAGGGCAAATCATTATGCATGTCACTCCCTTCCTTTGATTGATGCATGTAACATATGATTGCAAGAAAAGTAATTGACAAGTGTCTTGGCCGGTGCCAAAAGTGGCATTGTTTCACAGTTTTTCCATGTTTGTACCATTTTAATTTAAAGGAGGTGTAGTTTGAAAAAAATGAATGTCTGCCATGGGTACAATCAAAAATAAAACAGCTATTTGGGTCACACGGCTAAAAAAATGGGTCATCAGCTACAAAACAGTATCACCCTTGCTTGTGTGACTAATACCAACTCTTCACATGCAACCAACTTTACCGTGTCTGAGAATACTATAATCCAAAAGAAAACTATTTGCTTAATATCTATAATGATCACTGAACAATGAGGAGCTAATATAAACTTAGTGGGACAACCACACAGATCCGGCAATTTCCTGCTGCACTCACTTACACTCTAGTTATCATCAGATTTAGACTGATCTGACCCGGTACTGTAATTGTTAGAGATAGATGTTAGAATTTGTATTAATTAAACTTGTACTAGCAGGTCCCATATAGGTTGTACATACAGTACCATCAGCACATACAGTAGCACCCTGTATACAATGTACAGTGTAGGTACAATTTGGGGGTGTTTCTCATGCAACACATCACACCACCGTGACAGCGAAATGCAACAAATGCAGAAGTAAGACCGCAGTGCAACAAAAATAAAGAGTCACTCTGTGACCTGATTAAGACACAAAATTATCTGAAAATATTGTGTAAAAAATGCCAGCAGGACAAGGGTTAAGTAATTTAGGATAACCACTCACAGCTGACTTGGCCCAGATCAGGAAGACATCAGCTGTTAGCTTGAAGAGAGTATTTGCCTCAGGGGATGGGACCTTCAGCCATGCTTGCCTGGAGACAAAACAACAAGCAACAGTACAATTATTACATGTACACTACAATGAGGATGATATGTCATGTACATGTAGACCACGTGAGTTGGGTATACACATCAAAGTGGCTTCTTATGTGCATGTATTGATTTAGTGGACCTATGTTTTCACTTCAAAAAACTATGCCAGAATATCGTATGTCTCTCTACTAATAAATACATGTGTGTACATGTACGTGTTCTTCATTGTTTCTGCCTATGCATGTACATGTACAATACATCATTTAGTGTTCTTAGAAAAAATGCAGCTTCACAGAATCATATTATACTGTAAAGTTTCCCAAGTACTGGACCAGGTACATTTCTTCCTAACACTAAATTCATAGTATTACCAGTCCTACAATTACTTCACACAATGGGTTGGTGGAAAAACTGGTCCAGTCTGGACCGGTTGGGGTGTGTGTGGAAAAAGCGGTCCAGACTGGTTGAGGGGTGGAAAAACTGGTCCGACCCAAATTGCGCCCCCTACCAGAATGCGGGAGAATTGCAAGCAGTTGCAAGTGTTCCCAAATATCAAAACATGGGGTGCGCTGATTGGCTAAAAATAGACTGGGTGAAAATCTCTTTGTTTACCCAGGCAACGCATCCTACTCTCAGAAGTAAACAACACTGCGATGGCACCATACTATACATAAGATTAGAGTGGTCACATTAGTTATTACATAGACTTAGGACAGTTATCATTACAGTACAGCTCCACAACGTACACCATGGGAACGGTATCAACTCAAACCTTGCCTACCGCCACTGAATTACGTTGTCCCCACGGACCGAATATATACAATTTCTCGACGTTTCTATAGGTAGTATTGTTTCTCTTTGTTTAGATGTTCTAATACTGCCCCTCATAGTCTCCGACAGACAACTACTGCATTCCCACTGTCATGCAAATCGTACGACAAACCATACATGCTGTCACACAATTGCTAAATATGATATGATCTCTTGATAAGGTCTGGGATATATGATAAAGATACCTATTGAGGTCCACAAATCTGATGAGGAGAGGGTAGAAGGCATACAGGTCCCTGGCTAACATTTGGTAGTCCTGCAAATAACAATACAGCAACAGAAACCTGAATGTTAACCTGAACAAAGCTGGTGTGTCTGCTTACATGTGTCATGTCCATGTTGTACATGTAGCACTACATCAATGCTATATGATAACACCATGATCCCTTTTACATAATAGGTGAATGAAAAACATTAAAAGTAAAATAAATTCTTGGATATAATACAAACTGTATCACAGAGTACAGATTTTACACTTGTTTGGGCAAATGGCATGTAAAAAATGATAATGAATTCTTTTGTAATGTAAATGTTTTCTCTTCCATTGACCTGATTTCACAAGGCATACACATAAACCTGGCGACACACCTCAGAAAAGACACATTATGTTAAATGCTAGCTTCACATAACAGAAATCATTCAACAGAAGTAACATTATATAAACTTGAGCAGTCACATCATGACTACAGACTGTACAGAAACAATATAGGGCTTATTCACCACAGATTGTCACATGACTTTCCCCCCAGGCAACGAGCATTGTCCACCATGATGTGGTCCAGCATGGTGCCTATTGCTGTGGTACGCTATGCAAACTCTTGGCGATAGTTGCATAGTTTTGGCCAGAATCTACGTTTTGGACACTATTCTTGTTAGTAGCATTGTCCTTGGGGTTGTTCTGGCTCTTTGTCCACGTCTCATGTTGTCAGGATGTGGCTTTTATCTTTTTTGCTGATCGGAAGCCGGTGTGTTTTACCCTGGTGTAGGCCCGGCTGTAGATGGCAACATGGGTAGCCATGAACAAGGTAAATCTGTTGGAGCTACCTGTCCCTTTACTGTGTGGTAAATTTCCGTGTAGAACAGGGTGCTGGTAACATTACACTCACCTTGTCCAGCCACATCTTGATACTACATAGTTGTATGCTAAAGCCTTCCAGACTCTTAAAGGGTTTGAAACGATCCTGTGCGTAAAAACTTCTGCCCAGTACAAAGCTACAGTACTGTATTAAAGTCAATGGATTCCGCTGGCGGTAGACACCGTCTCGATCAAACTGATCAAAACTCGACAGAAACTGGCCAATTCCAACTGATTTTATTTTGTTCCAGTAACGAGAGGTACGAGTGGTGGCAAACTCTTCGTGTAATCGGAGAAAGGACAGTTTACCTAACGTTTGTCGGCAATTTCAACGCTTGGAAACTCGCTGTAGAGATGCACCCCAAAATGGCGTCGCACGGGACATGAGGGGTGATGACATCATGATGACGTGTGGTGAATAAGCTCTATATGTTTCATCAACATTCATACAGTCATCATAGAAAATGTGGGATAGAGCAGGCAATATATAGGGCTGTATAATTTGAGGCATGCTAAGAGAAGACAAGCTTAAGGGCAAAAAAAGTTGAAATTTAGGCTGGAAGTTATTACACGTATGCAACAGCTCTGTAGAAAGTAAAAAAAAAATTCTTTCTGCACGACACTAACTACATTGTTATGTACAACAGAGCAATTTACAATGTACATCTACATGTATGCTATACGTAATCATGGAACAATCATAAATGTACTGAAAAGCTATGACAGCAAAGCAAGATGCCAATTTCCAAGTAAAACCAGCTCAGACAGACTCTCACCATCCTGGCCACATTCATCACTCAGGCCAAGGGCAACAAACAAACCTGCATAAGTTCATAATACTTAGTCCATCTACGCTGCCACGTGTCACTGTCACATGCATGCTCATGCTCGTGATGGTGCCCTTTCTTCTTGTGGCGCTGCTTTTTCTGGCCAACACACATGGATGCAGAAATACTGAAAGAGAAGTCTGAGTCTAGGACTTTCACTGGGAGCCAACAAACGATTGGATGAAAGTCACTGACCAGACATTCACTACAGACAGCATATGACAGACATATTTGGATGTCTTAGTACTTAATAAAAGTGATCAATTTGTATTCTACAGAATACATGTTTGTAACAAAATATGTATAGTATGATATTTTACAAAGGGACTAATATCCCTTCAAAATCAAAGCAATATTACTCATTGACAGATGATATAACAGACACATATCCAGTTGGATTTTATACATGTATCATTACAGAAATGCACTTGAAAGCAGCTAAATGCATTTTAGCCACTAATTATGATATTACAGTATCCATTTCAAGCATTCCCAACTGTTGGTACCTCAAGCATGGCCAGTTCTTCCTCAGATAGGTCTGTTCCAGCCTTCCACTCCAACTTCAGCAGCTCTTCTGTGTACTCTATTTGCTGAGCCTTCTTCTTCAACTCCTCCAGCACAGGTAGGAAGTGGCTGCCAAGCAGTTCAGTACCTGCACAGCCAATAATTGGCTGGGTGCAGTCTGGAGAGGAGAAAGTAATGCCAATATAATCAATGTATAGATGGGTGGTTAGCATGATTGGCTCTGTGACTAATAATCTCTGGTTGTGACACAAGTTCTGTGCTGCACCTATACCTAGAAGGGCTAACTACAATTAAACAAGAAATGCTTTCGAAAAAATTTTCCCAGGAGTCAACTTAGAAGATGGGACATGTATTTTGGATATGGGCTGTGACAACAGAGACATGGGCTGTAACAGAGGACATGAAGAGACTGACTCGGAGTGACAAGGCCATGGTAAGATGGATGTGCTCCAGGAAACTGGCAGACTGCCAGTCAATTGAACAGCTACATACATGTATGTGGCTTGGAGTTCATAACATCCAGGACACGGATAGATATAACAGACTAAGATGGTACGGCCACCTCCAGAGAATGGACACTCAGGGACAAATGGCCAAAAAGGATCCTCACACTGGATGTGGAGGGTCCAAACCCTCGTGGTTGCCCTAGGAGGAAATGGTTTGAGAACATAAGGAGGAGGACCTCCACCACCTGAACTTAGATAAGATCAACCCACAGGACAGAGGCAAGTGGTGAGCTACCATCAAGCCCCAGATGTATAGTGCAAGCACGCCTAACCCTCAGAAGACCGGGAACAACAGACGATAAACCGGACAGTGAGAGTGAGTGATGTAGCTGGTTGGGTGGCTTGAGTGTGGATCAGATGATCATGTGTGACTCAAATAACCTTCGTGACAGTGAATTGGACTAATTTATGAAAATAATAAAATTAGACTCAGGACTTTATGATGAACAATTATAATCACTTGCTCTTAAGTAAAGAGACTCTTTTTACACAACCAAGTCTTTTATTCAGCCGACATTTCGGTAACCGTCTGTCACCTTCCTCAGGGCAATTCTGACTGGTTCACATTGCACTACAGCACAGGTGTCGCTGCTATATATAATAGAGAGAGAGTGCAGATAAAATGTTATGTGAAGTTACAGCAGCAAATAGTCAAAAGTGCCCTATATTTTCATCTCCCCTGTTGCTACAAATGTACTGGTGACAACATTTAACCCGTTTGCCCCTGGCCAGCCTCCTTGTTCTTTTTGGTCTTTCTTTACATTTTTAGGACAGCAAACATCTAGTACTTATTACCTTTGCCAAGAAGGTTATGTTTTCAGTAGCGTTGTGTGTGTGTGTGAGTGTGTGTGTGTGTGTGTGTGTGTGTGTGTGTGTGTGTGTGTGTGTGTGTGTGTGCGTGTGCGCGTGTGAGATTGTGGTTTAGCAAGTTATCTCAAGAACCTTTGGATGGATTGTCATGAAAGTTGGTAGGTGGGTAGGTATTGATAGGACCTAGAAACGATTAGATTTTGGGCCCCCTGGTGGCTTTTGTTGGTACTGCAGCAGAACTTCCGGTTTTGATATATCGCGATCCGAACATGCTAGGGTCACAAATTTTGAATGGTAGATAGCTCTTGGGCTAGTGAAGAACTGACATGAGTTTGGACCCCCTACTAGCAGCTTGTTCTGGAACTGCAGGAGTGTTAGTTAAAAATTCTTTGAAGGAGGATAACTCAAGAATGGGTTGACGGATTGTCGTGATCTTTGGTGTGTAGGTAGCTAAAGTGATGCTTGACATAATCAGATGATAGGTATGCAAATCAGGAGCTAATTTGCATAATTAATGAGGAAAATATATAAATCTGATTCGTTCGATGATAGGACTATGAAACACATGTGACATGTAATTTAGAATGAGAAATACACATGAGGATATAGATTATGTAAATGAAGACCTAATTTGCATAATTAATGGGAAATTGTTATATTTCATCGTTGTAACTGATGGGAATTTCATACTTGCCACATCTGGAAGTTAAGTGAAGGTGAACATCAATAAACATAATTTATTTAAATCATGACCTAATTTGCATAATTCATGAGGAAGTGCTACAATAGAGAATATGATCAACTGATATAATACATGCAAATGAGGCTCTTATTTGCAAAATCAATTATTAAGATTGTATAATTCATCAACCGGAAGGGTTACATAATGTGGCGAAGGTATGAGATCGTGGAACTCTTGTTTACATACTTGCAACTCTTTTCATCCAGCTGGCTTCAGGTAGACCAAGGTTGTTTCGGATCAGCTTCAGCACGCTGCCCAGGACTTCGTTCATCTGTTTGTTGCTGACACCTGTAGTCAACTTACTGTAAAAAGTAAAGTGTAGAGCTAAAAGAAATGCAACTTTTCTGAAATAAAATATATGAAATAACGTCCCTGTACATGATGTAACTTCGTGATTTTAGATTCATTAAAGTTTTGAACCCCTGACTGCCAGGTTCCAGCTTTCCAGAAAATTGTACATGGGCAGAAATGTGTCTAGTATACTAGAGGAACTCGGCATGAAACATCTGTAATGGCCAAATATTCCAAATTTTCAGGGGATTTCATATTACAAATATGACAGGGGATGTTACATTTTACACGTGATTTTCAGTTCTCATAATATTGATAATAATTATAGGACGATAAAGCAAGAGACTTACTCCTCAGCTATTCCCTTGTTGGCCATGTTGCTGGGCCCATGGTCCCACCATAGTGACAGGTAGCTGCAACAAACAATGACATAATGATATGACATCATGCAATGTAATTGGTATAATGGCAGCCAAAAAAAATCTTCAACAAGTGTCCATAGGCGACAATTCTACATGAAGTTTTATATTTTGCAGATTGAAAACAGTAACGGGGCGTGCCCTAACAACGGATCCTTTTTTATGCGCTGGAATGCTCTACCGCTAGTTGTCAGAGAGTGGTCAGGTTTTGATGAATGAATTTTGAGAACATTAATGCAAACAACATACTTGGATAAGAAATTCATTCATACTAGTCATGAGCCCTTCACGCTCCATGTTACAAGCAACAAACTCTGTTAGACTTTTTCCTGAATGTACCTTTCGTGAATGCAGCTATGCTAGACAGTGTGCGCTAACTTCGGACGCTTTGGTAATTTTGATCTCTTCAGGCGTTGATTTTTTTTTTTATTTAATGTGCTATAGTGAGCAATTCCCACTGATTGTACATAGTATATTACACATGGTAAGAATACAGTTTAGTGGGCAATCAATGGCTCACAGCTGCCAAGTTTCTCAATAATGAAGGAGGTGTCGGTGGACTCTAACTTTGAAAGACTGCAGGCCGTTGTTGTTGATGTTGATGTAGCTAGCAGGCAGACCTAGGTTTTGCCAGTAATTTCTCTTAACTTACAAATTTAAGACTTATAAATTTGATACTACATGTAGACCAAGCATGACAAAAAAGAGATCATGGTCTTTGGAAGAAAATGTGTGACTCAACAGCAATTATTGGAAGTTGCTTACCTGCACAACATTGGTAGAATTACTTCAATTATGTGAGGTGCTTCCTCATATGCAGACTCCGAGTTGGCCAGATGTGTTATCTGGTCTACCAGTTGCTGGAAGGTGGGCATGTCTGGCCAGATCTCTTGAGCAGAGCTAGGTAAGCCTGTTGTTGCAATTTTTAGAACAGAAGATTATACTATTCAGAATTTCTTGACAAGGTGACCTTGAAATACAGTAACTGTTGATTTTCCTTAAAGTTGCATAATTATTTAAAGTGAATAATTTTACTTACAATGTAATAATTATACATATACATGTTCATCATATACTTAGGCCATGTTGATTTGATTATATAGATGACATCCTCGGGGAACTCCAAAGCTGATGCCACTGAAACAAGAAAATTTGTGCGAATGCAGATGTCATCCATATAATCAAATCAACATGTGGTGGAGCCATGCTGAATTTGCTCCAAAGCAAATGTCGGCCTTTCTACTTTTATTATTGTTTTGTCTTGTACATTATAATTATTACTCTGACATACATGTACATGTGTATGAGCCTTTAGTAAATATTGTGTAGTACACTGCAACTTAAGCCCTTGACTTACAATGTTGTATTTTTAAGTACTATGTAATGAAATGAACCAGACTGAGTTATTCTTTAAAGCCCTCTCCAGCTCTTTATCTTTCCTCTTGGTTTCAACCTAGTAGGACTAAAGAGTGCTGGATTGTGCCAATCTTCTGTCTTACATACCCAACTTGGCTATTTGCTCATTGTCTGCAAAGATGCAGTCCTTGTTGATAGTGTTGTATTCGTGTTCTAAGAAGGCCACAGGGAAGGCACTGGAGAAGGCAGCCAGGCAGGCACCCAGAGCTGGACGGTTCCTAATCAGGAAGAAACAGTAACACTGACAAACCAGTTCAACTCAGTGTGTCAACCACCAGCACAATGTCATGCTTGGCCAAACGGACAGTAAACATGTTTGAAAATTTAATACCAACTGTCTAAAAGGCTTTCAACCATATCAAAGTTCTTAAACATGTGGGTTTATAAGAAGTGTGTACATGTGCCTCATATTACTAAAAGCATTTCTTCAGCCTGTTACAATGTTTACTTGCATTTCAAAGGATGACAAATGCATAGAGAAGACCTGTCACATTACATTTATGACAGCTTCAAATTTGGTACATGTAGCTCGATTGAAGGAGTTAAGCAGTGAAAGTGAATATAAATTCATAATCAATTATCAAGTCCAAAATTTTTCATTCAATTATATAATGTACAATGCCATGTATTTACCAATTTCCGGTTTTATAGCAGACTTACTTACACGTATATTAGACTTACATTGTACAAAATTGTCCATCTGCCTGTATAGTGGCATATTGAACCATAAAGAAACTTGCTACAGTCTCATACATGTAATACTATGTGCATAATAGTGCAAAATCTGACCTGCATTTTGAAACATGTGAGCAAGAAAACAAAGCCAGTACATGAACATGTACTGTACACAGATGAATTTGATGGACAATACAAATGTACGTGACATGTCTTCACCTGTTATTGAATGGTGTTGATTATAAAAACCACATACTTCGGGTAAGAGCCAAACAAAATTAAAGCATTTAACAAGACACATTTGATGGGGAAAAAAATCACCCAAGTTACCTAAAACCTTGAAAAGTTAAGTTATTAATAGGCAATCCAAAAGCAATGCATCGTGTAATTGTCACTGTCCTAAACTGTTACAAATTTCCATTGGCATGTGCAAATTTTTGCAAAAAGGGCCCAAAAACTTGTTTTCCCCACACAATAGCAACAAGATGTTGTGAGGAGAAAAAAAAAAGTTGAGTTATCAGACTATCATTGCAACAAAGATGAGCTTAATTGCAGCTTTGACTGGTGCCTTCTTGCACACATACATAATGTATAAATCACAGCTCAAGGCAGACAGATGACACAAAGGACATGGAGACTGAATCATTTATATAAACAGTTAAACTTATTAGCTTCTGTTAAAGTTGTAAACAAAGATTTGTGTTGTCTTTGTGAAGATTTTGGCCTTTTGTAGATAAAGCTTGAAATGAAAAATGGACACTTAGTGTGGACAACAAATCAAAAGTGAAGTGACAGACTGTAACTGTAATGACCCTGTCACAATTCTGCATATCCTCATTCTGTAAGAGTTGCATATTGACATTTGTTTCAAATGCAGTCATACATTGTACACAATATGCACATCGGTCATGTGCATGTATATTGTTTTGTGTACCCTGGCATGTACATTGTACACAATAAAATACAAGGCATGTGCACAATACATTTTGCTTTCCAAAGCAGTAACAAACATTGATCATTTACATGTACAGTACATGAGGCTGGTGGTCCCAATTATCAAAAGAAGAATTTATCCCTGCAAACACAATGAAAATGCTCTAGAATTCAATAAACTTGCCTCATTCTGGATAAACTCTAAAAATGTACTGCTCATGCACTTCTGCTTCTTATATTTTAGTGCTTTAATCTCAGTAAACCAAGAGGTAAGAAGTACAATGTCATGTACAGTCTAAACCCTGGCTCCCGGGACAGCAGGAATCAAACTGAACCTGTTGGACTGGATCGGTTATAATCAGTGGCGCTTGAACCCTGCTGTTACACTTAGTCTACTCCCCTTTTAGTTTTTAGATTGTGCATCCTCAAATTTTTGAGTTCAGTATCCCTGTGCGCCACTGAAACACTGAAACAAGAGGCGAGTAGTACATTCTACCCTGGCTCCCTGAATGCCGTGCTAACCGCTAGCTTAAAGGTCAGGATGACCTGGTCAGTAAGTGATGCATACATTGTAACAGTGGTGTTTCCAGTGTCAGTCCTGAAAGAAACTACAGTCAGTAGGTTGGGATTGTCTTTTTTTTATTTAGGTTGAAGTGATCCAACAAATATAATCTAACTGTAAAATGTAAAACTAAATTGGCTCATGATCGGAGCTGTCTCCAGAAATTTCCGCTCCATTTCCTTTATAGGAAAAATAATTTGAAAGTAATTTCAGTTTTGGAGCCTTTCAACCCAAAATCCTACTCTCCAAGCAGAGGTTGTGGGGGAATGCATGATCGTTAGCTTTTTATATATGACCGTTTTTTGTTGCCCGTCAGTGGCCAGCAACCTTCTCTGGCTAATGGATATACTGCCTGGCCAATTTGAGAACGTACGTTTGTTTGTTTGTTTGTTTGTTTGTTTTAGATCTCCATTAGTGATCCGGGTACGGAAATATTGTTTTGGGTGGCTGAGTGGTGGGTTTGTGTGTCTGTTTGAGCTGGCCGTTAACTGTCTTTTTGCCACTGAAAGGGATCTGCTTGGAGATTACCAAAATCCTATTTGCAAAAGGTAATCCATTGGTTTCTACTACATGTAGTCCCACACAGATAGGGGTGATATTTGACCCAAATCCATGTTTACGTTTGATGCCTGCCTTAATTCCACCAGGAGGCTTGCAAAAAGGATTTTGGGTTGAAAGGCACCAAAACTGAAATTACTTTATTTGTCTCATTTGTAATATTTCACTCAATTTCAATAATAGGAAAATTTGCTTCAGAAAATCCTTGAAATGATGTTTCAAAGGGTTTGAAATTCAGATATCAGATTGAAAAATTAATGGACTTCTCAGCGATTGGCAAAAAAAGGCTAGAGTACTAGTCAGCAGGTTTTTGCTAGGGTCAGTCGGGGAAAAAAACGGTCATGGCCAAAAAAGTATTTTAAAAATTTTGAACAATGGCTGCATATGAAAGAAATGTCAAATTGAATATACAACTCATACGTTACGTATGAGTTGTATATTCAATTTGACATTTCTTGAGTATATGAGTATATGAGTATATGCAGAAGTGTAACAGGGCCCTGACAAATTGATGTGTAAATCCAGAATGTTAAGTACACGTATGAGCACATTCAGCAGCTGTGAGGTTTAGGATAGTAAGAGAAGACACAGACCTCTTCATCTGATCAGAAAAATTTCTCTTTTTTGCACAGTCGTCTTAGTGAAGTCGTCGTAGTGCACATTTGGCCGAAAAAAGGGTACTTTAAAAGCTTGTGAAGCACGGAAACTTAGCAGAATTCAGGGGAGTTGTATAATATGAACATATTTGTTGTTGTGGATTTTGCTGGCGTTGCGCGAGGGCCAATATTTTGAAGGAGTAGTGGACCTTCGCCTCAAACCAGGAAGTAAAGTGGGTATTCGCTAAGAAGAGAAAAAAACAGTAAATTTCGATTTTTTTAAGTTCGTCTCGATGGATTCCCTTCAAACTTGGTATGAACACGTGGGAGCACACTCTGGATATGACCACACACAAAAAAATTAAGACTCGTGCAACAATTCCTGGGCATTCGCTAAAAAGGGAAACCCGATCAGAACACTGCCAATGGATACATGTATGATGGACAGTTCTTAGAACTCAAGCAGATGGAGCACAACTACAGTCAGTAGGTTGGGATTGTCTTTTTTTAAATTTAGGTTGAAGTGATCCAACAAATACAATTTAACTGTAAAATGTAAAACTAAATTGGTTCATGATCAGAGCTGTCTCCAGAAGTTGCCACACCATTTCCTTTAAAGGACAAATAAAGTAATTTCAGTTTTAGTGCCTTTCAACCCAAAATCCTATTTGCAAAAGGTAATCCATTGGTTTCTACCAGTCCTGCACAGATACAGGTGATATTCAGCGGGGTTTTGCTAGGGTCAGTCGGGAAAAAAAACGGTCATGGCCAAAAAAGTACTTTAAAAATTTTGAACAATTTTGTGTGAATGGCTGCATATGAAAGAAATGTCAAATTGAATATACAACTCATATGTAATGAGTATATGCAGAAGTGTAACAGGGCCCTGACAAATCGATGTGTAAATCCAGAATTTTAAAATACATGTATGAGCACAACAGCTGTGAGGTTTAGGACAGTAAGAGAAGACACAGACCTCTTCAGAACACTGTGCCAATGGATATGATGGACGGTTCTTAGAACTCAAGCAGATGGAGCACAGCAAGTGAGGGTGATCAACAAACATGTTAATGTAGTGGTTGGACAGCACATGGAAAAAATGGTGAAATAAATGGCAGTGCATCATTGCACACGTGGCAGAAGGAGGAAAAAATACTGTCATAAGATGTTGGACGAGATATATCTACTAGAAGCCAAACTGAATGAGTAAGGATAGACGTGCAGCTTGCCAAGAGTGATGCATATGAGTCTGATTATTATGAAAAGTGAGTATGTCATAAGCCTTGACTGTTGGTCACTTTCTATCATAAATGTACAAGAGAGCTATGTGAAGAAAAATCCCATTCTACCGGCATAACTTAGTTTTCCAGCTTTGTATCAAAATTTGAGACCAATTTACAACCCCTTGATTTATTTTTTGCTCACTTGTAACTGAATGAATTGAAGACAGCCTGACAGTGTATTATTTTAGGATAGTTACACCATAAAGCAGTCATAAAAGTCAATGATCATGTTCAACTAGTCTTTAATTTCAGAATGAGCACTGTGAAATCGGAATCATCTTCCTCACAAAAGAGGGCATACCTAGATATTTGACAATCATGACAGCTGTCATGGGATTGGTTACATCTGAATTTACATGACATATAGTGCATAGTTCTAGAAGAGTTAGATCAATCAATTACAATACACAAAAATACTGTAACAACAATTAATGGTTTAATTCTACTATCTACATGTTAAGTGCATGTGGTTGACTATATAATTATGATGTTTAAGCTACTTATAAGATTATAATACGAGTTCAAATGGAAAGCACAAAGTACAAAATACTGCGCAATAAAGGCCCAAGGATGACTCAGAAGTAGTGGTAAAGCAGGAGGAGAAGGAAGAGAAGCAAGGTTTGTAATTACCTTTCAAGCTCTTCCTGCCCTGGTGATCTATGATGGTGCAACAAATGCATGGCAAGAGCAGGTGAACAACACAGGCAGGGTAGGCAAAGCACAGGACATGAGGAACAGCAGAAGTACATAATTATGATAAGGCTGTGGTCCATGCGCAGGACCTGGGACAGGCCAAGCCAGGTCTGGCTAATGTGTGGCAAGGCCTTACTCTGCCAACAGATACAAAACAGAACCTGCTACTATGCTGGTAGAGTTGGACTCATTTCCCACACCTGTGGATTATTTTTTTCATGTTTTCAATTCTGAGTTTTGTTACTCAGAGCTGGAACTGTTTTTTCCTTGTTGACTTCAGATGCACCCAAGACAAATATTGGTGCTATAAGGAAAGAAATGTTACCAAATAGTGCAATAAGTCATATTTAGGAAATTTACAACAAATATTTGTGTATGTTCTTTCACCTTATAGAAGTGATTGCACAATCATGCAACAACTAACTGAAATTGCAACTGGTACTGTAACACTGATGACTAAACATCACCAGAAATGACTCTTTTTTTTTTCAAAATTAAAGAACACAATCATTTACTCTTCAGCCTTGAGAGAAGGCCAAAACAAGGGTATGGGGAGCCTTAAACTTAACAAACATAGCAAAACTCTGTTTTGTACCCTTTATCAAACCAGTGCTAAATTGGTATCTGGTAAAGGGCCTTGCTATGGTATACCTGATCTCCATCTTGCCAAGGAAAGATGACATACTGGTGTAGTGCAAGAGACAGAGATGGATGGAAAGAGAGAAAGAGAGAGGTGCTCAGCAAAGGCAAGGGCTTAACCATGCTCTGATTTACTGAAGGCCAAAAGTCTATCTAATTTGTTGAATGGCACTGCCACAGATCTGGACACCAGTGCTTGGCAGCATGGCAGGGCCCTCAGGCCTTGAGGTACACATCAAAGTGAAATGCAAACAGGGAATAAGGGATACAATTGATGATTGAATGGGAAAATGTACAAGAAATGCAAAGAGAACAAAATAAAAGTTAAACACACAATACAACAAATTGTGTTCATACACAATGAAAATCACCACACAGAGTATTGTGATTGGTTAAAAGAAAATCACCAGCAACCAAAGCTTGCACAGAAAGCAACACTTCAGAAACAATATACAATTAGAGACAATGTAACATTACATAAATACAGCAAGATAGAAACAGCCTAATACATGTATTGTCTGCAAATTAAAGGATGAGGACACTTTGCATAGTTATCTTTGTTCATTGCATTAAGTATGCTAGACCAGTTGCACCTGTCCTAACTGCATGCAAGTGGACTCCATGTACATTTTGTACATGTATGCACTGCCAGGTTAAAGCAGGTGCAGACGCAAGCTGGAATATATTCAAAGTCCTTAATCTGAGCAATACTAACATCCCATTGCCTTCATCTCTATATTTCTCTATGTGGGAAACTTATTATAAAAGAGACCTTGCAGCAAGAAGGCATTCTGAATAGAAGCCAAAGCATCATGATGACAAAGTACATTTTTATGTAGCAAAAAACAAGGAGAGTTGTACATACGCCTCAGTGAAGATTGATTTTGATGCCCCGAGAAAGTACACAGTGTTGAAGATGCGATATGCTGCCAGCTGGATCTCACCCACTGGGAATAAAGGTCACACATTCTACAATCAGTGACATCATCACTCATAAAAATGGTTGATATTTTGATCATTTTTAACAGCTCTATAAATGAAAAGATTTTGAATTAATATTTCAGATTTACTTACAAGATACATTAAACAGCTTAAGAAAATATATGCGGGAGCAAAAAAAAAATCCTTTAAGTCGCAATATTTATATGTTGTATGGAAGAAATATATTTATTTGTCTTTTTGCATTTCGCACATTAGGCCACAGCAAGTACAAGTAAATTTTGTGGATGATATCCGCAGCAGACTCCAACCTCCATGACTTGTTTAGTGCTTTTGTAAATCGTATTGCATGGTGATGACCACCTATAAATGGCTTACATTTACAATACTGCTCATTAGCAAAATTTTTATACAAATTATTTACATAGCCCCTACCTAGAAGCCCCATGCAGGCCATACCGCTAGTTATCACACGGGCCGGAACACCCGTATCGAAAGTTATCGCGACCCAGGTGTGACATAATATGTAATATACCTCTCAGCACCCATGCAGCTAGAGTTTTCCAATACATCAACTTAAGTTAGGTCTAAACATGGATGCTACAATAATGACAGACTTTTAAGCCATCGTAAGCAGCATAAGGTATCACTCCTTCACCATGTGCCAGTCACTGACGAAAGGTAGTGGATACAAGCTGAAGCGTCTGACCGTTTCCAGAATCATATCCAGTTGCTTGAGTAACTGCTTTTTGGCATATTGTATTACCTGGATGTCTAACCTTCATCGGCGTGCCTTCATGATTCACAAAATGTTTCATTTGTTACTCACAGAGTTGTACTGAGCCATAGCTATTTTCTCCTATGTGGTCAAAGAGTGAAGTCAGGACAGGGATGAGCACAGCGCTGCAGTAGGTCACCTCTGGTGCACCCACATATGATTTCCCTTTAGGTTGACCAAAGTTGGGGCTCTTGATGGTGTTGACCAGGATGCTGAGGTCTCCTGCAGCATTGATGAAGAAATCTCGAATCCCCTTCTTAACCTCCACAGGACACTTGGGGCTGTTGATGGCTCTGCAGAAGAACAGTGAGTCACAAGTCTAAGACATGGCAAATATCTACATGAAACGTTACATGTAGTTGCCTTTTTACCTCCGGGGAAGGAGATATCCTTCCGCGAGGAGGTTTTACTATGGTTCGAAACATTTCTGTCAGCAGCTGTTTCTCGCGATCGGCTGGACGGATTGGTCTGTTGTTCGGTATACGTATTGCTATTGGGCTGCAGATGATGCAGAACGTTTTTGTTTAATTGCATATGTGTTTATGGGCGTCGAAATAAAATGTTTTTAAGTGCTCCGGACACCCCCGCCATGCTGAAAATGGAATTTACCATGTTGTTAAGGAATGGGGAGGTTGCAGTTTTGGGTCTTAGCATTTAAAAGGGGTCAAACAGAGGGGTGTCTGGTTCCGATAAAAAATTTGGGTGACGGCGCAGCAATGACGGCGGGGGTAATGGCGCGGGTGACGGTGCAGGCTGTCAGACACGTTAATCAACAGTCCATACCGAACCAACCGTCAGTAGCCATCAAACACATACAAACATATTCCGCACATAACTTTCATACTACACACAAACAAATAACCTAAACCAATAGAATACAAAAAAAACCGGAGGTTTGAAATCTACGATTTTCCTTGTTTTGCAACTGAAATGTCAAGTGTATACTGAACAAGCGGCGATATAATTATGGAAAAACGTTTTAATTATGGACTCCTGCCCATAAATCCCAAACGCTTAACCCAACTGTCTTAATACTTTTTATGGTAACATGTTTATGAATATGAGGAAAGCATTGATGAGTCTCCTGGGAATAGTCAAATTATACATAATTATACTATAATTATGTATAATTATACATAATGATTTTTGGTATTATACATAATTATACATAACCCTTTTATCCATTATACATAATTATATATAATGATTTTGGCATTATACATAACCTTTTTATGTATAATCATTATGGTACAAAGGGTTATATATTATGGTCCAAAGTGTTATATATAATTATAGATAATGGTCCAAAGGATTATGTAAAATTATGTATAACAGTCCAAAGGGTTAATATGTATAATTATGTATAACAGTACAAAGGGTTATGTATAATTATGTATAACAGTCCAAAGGGTTATGTATAATTATGTATAATACCAAAGTCATTATGTATAATTATACATAATTATAGTACAATTATGTATAATTTGACTATTCCCAAGGGACCCATCCTTTCCGCGTATTCATTACCACCTAATATGTTACCATAAAAAGTATTAAGACAGTTGGGTTAAGCATTTGGAATTTATGGGCGGGGGTCCATAATTAAAACGTTTTTCCATAATTATATCGCAGTTATATAAGAGTTAAAACTTTAGATCCAACACAATGGAAACTGTTGCTAATTGTGGATCCAAATACAGTCAAAGTCAAACGAAAATGGTAAAGAATAACGTAGTTGCCAAACGCAGACAGCTATGAAAAATTGAAATTTCAAAAACATTTTTTTTACCTTGCATCAATGCAGCGATCCAGGGCATGAAGGCATCTCACCCCGACTTGAACGTCCTTTCCTGCACAATGATTGGATGTACATGGGTAGTTAAGAAAAGATTTTGCGATGTTCATACATACATGTATAATGATGATTGTATCTGTTCAAAGACAATCATGTGTATGTATAATGAACAAACATACAGCACATAATTTATATGTACAGTATCCAACAATGGGTCAGCAATGAAAATAAATCATGTGACATAAATGATTGTACAAAGGTCTAAATTTTTCAAAGATGTGAAATTTCAGCTTCCTGCAGTAATTTTTATCAAACTGCATTTAACTTGTATCTCTGTCTATAACAAAATCATTACATGTACATGTACAATTGTTAACAACTTGTAAAATGACAATGTTCCTTGTTCAGTTGCCAAGAAATATTTGTAGCGTAAAGAGCAGAAATTAGTGCAAGCACAGTGGGTCGAGTTTCAGTATATAGAGATTACAATGATTTCTGAAACAAAGTGTAAAGAAATCTTTTCCTTGCCACTGAGAAGTTAATTTGTTTGTCAGCCGGTTGCCCGGTTTGCTTAAAGAAGACATAGGTTTGCATGTGGTCCAAAGGGGTCAGAGGTCACTTGTGTAATAGTTTCTACTGTAAGGAATTTTCTCATTATGGACAACAGAACAGACTTTATGATATGCATTACAGGATTTAGTGGGACAGGTCACAGGATTATGCAGGACTAGTTCCAGGATCCTGTAGCAAACTGAAAAGGGTACAGAATCAAGCTGCAAGATTCTGTATGAACAACTATGAAAGAGGTGCTACTGTGACAGTCACAGAAATGAAATTTGAAAAGTAACCTACAGTGGGTGTCACTTGAAGACAGAAGAAAAATGTCCAGACTATGCATGATTACAAAGTGACTAATAAACTGGTGGGCGTCCCAATTACTAAGTACCTACATTTTGTACATGTACATGTAATACCAGCCCAGGAGAGAACAAGAAATAGCCATGCCTTCAAGTATACCAGAGTTATCAACCAGGTATTCAAGAATTCATTCTTTCCTAATATATACAAAATGTAAAACTATTGCAGAGTGGAACTTGCTGTCACCAAGTACAGTAGGGGCATTGTCATTAGATAGCTTTAAACAGTGCCTACAGTTAGATGTTCAAGGGCTAGGTGTAACAAGTTGATCGGTGTAATGTAGCCAGCTGCCACCGCGCCGCGTGCCTGCGAAGCTGGTGTGTTGCGCCGAAAGGCGGTTATACCGGCTACACAGATACTGGATATCATGGGAGATTTTGCGGGATGTTGCAGTCTGTAGGTTACATGATTGTACATTATTTGCGAGACTCCAGCAAGACTCCTGCGGGAGGCAGATCTTGTCTTGTATTCCGCAAGGCAATGGAAATATGGCGTGAGCCTTATAGTCCAGTACAAAAAGGTTCCGAATTTGCCTGCTGAGATGGAAATGTGTGATTGCCAATACATGCACACATACATGTGTCACACTTTCTTTTCCTCCACCCAAGAATTACTTTGCCACTGATGTGACTGCACTACTGTGAGAGTGCACTACTACAATGTATCTTCCATACTTTGAGAAAACCTTGACTCTATGTGAAAATGCTAATGATTAGTAGTTGTCCTTTTTGCGGACGGAACTGGTCAATGTCATGCAAATTTGCTTGTGTGTACATGTAAGAAGCATTGCCAGATGAGCACTCTTGGCTTGTAATTTACTGGCAAGTTTTCCCATTTTTATTCATATCTCTCAAATTAAAAGCAAACTATTTTCATTTTTGTGCTGTGTCCTCAACAACTGTGAAATCTGCAATCTCTAGCGCCAACTATGCAGGTCCGGGTTTGAGTCCTGAAATGCCACCGATCTTGTGTCCTTAACACGACTTTCCTCACTTAACTCAGGTGAAAATGAGTATTGTAATGTCCCGTGTTGGTGGCGGCATTAACATAAGTTGAAAAAACTTGAGTGTGCCGTCACCACGTCAAAAATAAAATATGCAGTTCCCATCACTTTATACATTAGTTCATTGTCCAGGTTCGAGAAGGGTCTGCCTATTTACAGGAATACACTGAAATACACAGGAATACATCGGAATACACCCTGCGTTGATGAGATAACACCCCAAGTTGCTGTATTTTGGCAGAACTTGTATGTTGCCCAGGGAACAAGAAATCACTTAAATAATGAATCGGCAATCGGCAGAGGCAACCTGGCCAGTCGCCATGGTTGTTTAGTAAATTAAAAACATAGCGTAACACAATGTTTGTTTAGCATGATCACAGAAGAGAAGTGAAATGTACCGAAATAAAAAGTTCTTTCATACTTCTATATAATAGTAAGTATAGAAGAAAGCAAGTATAAAAGTATATATACTCCTATACTTGCTTACTTCTATACTTGCTGAACTGCTCTATTTTGACCATAAGAGATACATGTATGTGGCGAGAACAAGAAATCACTATGAATTGGCAACTATCGGTGGAGGGGACAAATAAACCAAGCCAGTTGCCATGTTTGTTTACATGTTTGTTTAGCGTGACCACAGCAGAGAAGTGAACTGTACCGAAATAAAAGGTTATTTTATACTTTAACATTGCAGTTTGCTGTATTTTGACCATAATATAACTTAAACCTGGCCCGGGGAACACTGAATCAAAATCACCGGCAACTCTTTGTGGAGGCGACCCAGCATTCATAGTGATTTCTTGTTCTCTGGGCCATGTATAAGTTATCTTATGGTCAAAATAGAGCAAGTATAAAAGTACAGCAAGTATAGAAGTAAGTAAGACTTAGTATAGATTCTGAAGTATAAATTAAAGAACTTTTTATTTCGGTACATTTCACTTCTCTTCTGTGATCGCGCTAAACAAACATTGTGTTACGCTAGCCTACATGTATGTACACAAACATGATGACTGGCCAGGTCACCTCGGTCGATTGCCAATTCATTATTTAGTTTCTTGTACCCTGGGCTACATATAAGATTACTAACTTACCTTATGCCAAAAGACAGCAACTTGGGGTGTTATCTCATTAAAAATGCAGGGTGTATTCCGGTAGATTTAAGCCTCTTACATGTGTATTCCGGTGTATTCCTGTGTATTTTGGTGTATTCCTGTATATAGGCAGACCGGTTTGAGAACCACGCTAGACTTCATTTCAATGTGGTTGACCTGATTATGAATGTTTTGAACCATAAAATGGGCTATACGACACAATCATCCTGTAAAAGTACTGTGCTGCGGTATTCCCACAACTCTCCTGCGAAATCCCACAAGCTCTCCCCTGTGGCCAGTCCCACATACATGTAACCCCACAACAGGTCCCGCAAATGCATATCACGAAGTCTCTACTGTAAATGGACACTTAATTACTATGAGTACGCTGCCAGAACTCAGGTACATGACAAATTAAATGTAGATGACCATTGACACATTTTTTCTGACATAATTCCCATGTTATAAGATGCCAAGCCCTATTACAGTAACTGTTTAGTTTAACTTGTTGATGATTTACAACTCTTATCATTAATAGTAACCATAAAATTCACTTGATTGTGAATAAGTAAGCAACAGATTGTACACATTTCTGTAATACAGTGTAAACGAGCAATCTCATACATGAATTCAGAATATAGCAGCTGCAGAATTATCAGAATTAAAATTGTAATGTTCTAAACAAAGTCAATGCCATGGGGATCGGAGCACAACAAAACATGGTATGAAATAAAAAAAAATTATAGGACAGAAGGAAACTCAAGCTATTTTGGACTTTTGGAATGAAAAAAGGAATGTTGCCAGTCTCTGCAGCATGAAATAAAGGCTATTGATTGATTGATTGATTGATTGACTGAATGATTGAATTAAGGACACTACACCATCTACATGTACATGTATGTACTAAGAAATACATACCACCCATCTGCTGCTGTCGTATAACTGAGTTGCAGTATGTTAGGAGACAGAAGGAATTGTTGTGATCAGTGTTTTAAGAGAAGGCTGCTCAGTGAAATTTATGGTTAGAGTAATACTTAAGACATGACATTGTGAGATTCCCCAAATCAAGAGATAGACATCTGAAATGCCTGGAAATATCTATCATACTATTAAGGCCCACATTTTCTTGCAAGCAAATACAGTATACCTTTGTCTCCATGCAAAAATATACTGTTTCAATCTCAGCTCTGTGCAAATCTTCACGTCACTTCTTCCCAAGAGCTACCTACATGTGCCATCCAAATTCCGTGACCCTAGCACATCCAGATCAGGAGATATCAATACGGGAAGTTCCGCTGCAGTACCACAACAAGCCACCAGGGGGCCCAAACTTTAATCATTTCTAGGTCTCATCAAGACCTACCCACCTATCATGAAGACAATCCATTTAAGCTTTCTCGAGTTATCCTGTTTACAGACACACAGACACACACACGAACGCCTTTGAAAACATAACCTTCTTGGCGAAGGTAAATACGTCAACTACATACTGACATGGACAGTTTATGCAATGACGTAGAATACAAACATGCATACTCACCAAAGTAGGCAATCTTATCCCTCAGAAGAGATGACAGCTCACAGAACAGCCTACATATTTAGAAAAATATTAGAAACATCACTCATAAATGTGAAAACTGTGTCCCTGACCATATTTTCTATGACAATACAAGAGACTTACAAACTTAACAGTGAAGTGGTCATGCAAATGAACACCATAATAACATGATTGTTTATATTGATTGTTTATTTGCAAAATCATGCCCGAAGGCTAATTGCGTGTACAGTCAATTATACAGAAACAGGAGACAGGTAACAATCTGTCTGGAAAAACCTCTACTTCTACTACTACTCTAGCTATTAAGGGGTTCGACTTCTTCTTTGAAGGCAGTGGATAATGAATAGTCCCACATTCTGCATATATATAGTCACAGAAAGACAACCTCCATGTATAAAATTAATGATCAAGTAACAGTTACTGTAAATATTCAAAGAAAGACAACATACATGTAACATGACATGAAAATGCCAAGGGACTCCAGGAAGTGCGAAATGGAACGAAATGGAACAAAATGGAACAAAATGAACGAAATGGAACGAAATGGAACTAAATGGGACAAAATTGAACGAAAAAGAACGAAATGGGACAAAATGGAACAAAAAGGAACGAAATGGAATGAAAAGGGACAAAATATGTAAGCCGTTCGTACGTTGAAACGGTGACGTGTTAGCTCAACGTCCAAACGGCAACTTTAAGATTGATTCATGGTATTCTTAGAACCGCAACGTTAAGATCGGTCAGGATACGCTAAGAATAAAGTGACCGCAACGTTAAAAGATCGATTGGGGTACGTTAAGAACCACAACGTTATAAGGTACGTTAACAATAAATTGTGTTTTGAGTTGAGCAGTCAAAGTGTGCGGACGTGTTTCTTTGTGGTCTCTGTCTGTCCTAGCGGTATGCCCACGGGGAGGAATTTTATCACATGTACAATGTAAACACAATGAAATGAAATAGATAGTAAAATATAAGGAACGGATCTGTTTAAAATTTTAAATACAGAAGTGAGTGGTGAATAAATAATATGATGTGTTTTATTTCTTGAACCTATTCAATACTATTAGATACAGCATAACTTTTTTTGCTGTGTTCGTGTGGCTAATTTCATTCCATTACGTTTCATTTCATTCCATTTCGCACTTTCTATACACCGAATGCCAGCTGGGCATTGAATATCAGTACGTTCTACTAACAGTAACTATAACACTTATCAATAAGTAACACCCATGTTCTAGAAAAAAAGGCAACTTTTGCTAACAATCCCTCCCCATGTTTTCTAATGTAATGACTGCCTTTTATAATAAATGCAAAGACTCATTTAAATATTCCTTCAAAATTGCACTGGCTTTCCTACACATAAGACATTGTGTTACAACTACCATGTAATTAAGGGAGTATTGCAGATATAAAGGGATTAAAAAGAGCAAATTAGCTTCTTTTTTTTGTATATCATACCTTGTGACCAGTTCGATCTCCATGGGGGAAGCCTTGCCGTACTCTGGGGTGGCTTTGGGATCAAGGACGAAGTAAGACCTATGTGTGCTGAAGTACTTCTCTATCAAAGGCAAGACCACCTGAGGGAGAGGCAACTAGTCACCACACTTTCAAATTACATTTGTACAAGACCTTGAGATGTCAGACAAACCATACCCACTGTCAACAGCTCTGAGAATAGCTTTCATCAAAATGTGTTAAACAGCATCCGGATTAAATTTGGACAGTCCAGTTTAATTCCGGACTACTTTCCATATCTCAGCAACCTTACATCTATATGTACATGTAGATGGGCTAATGTCGTTAACTACATGTAAAAATGATGTAAGAAATACATATATAGCAGCCATCGAGGACCCCTTAGGGGTTAACCCAATTATGCAGAATTCTACAGAATTCTGGAACCAGAGCCAGAATTCTGCAGAGTTCTTGAACTGAAGCCACTGGAATTCTGCAGAATTCTCAAACTGAAGCCAGAAGTCTGCAGAATTCTGGCTCCGGTTCGAATTCTGGCTCCAGTTCCAGAATTCTGTAGAATTCTGCAGAATTGGGTTAACCCCTAAGGGGTCCTCCATGGCTGCTACATGTACATGTTGTACGTATTTCTTACATCATTTTACCTGTAACTCTGACGTTTGCCCATCTACATTGTGGATGTAAGGTTGCTGAGATATGGGAAGTAGTCTAGAATTAAACTGGAAGTCCAGAATTAGCTGGACACTGTTGTTACTAGAAAAGTCATTATCAGATAAGAATGGCCAGGTAACAAAATAAAAACTAGAAAGGCCAATATTTGCTTTCGAGCAAATACAGCGATGGGTTCACCACATTTTACGACATGGCAGGGAAAGAATGAGAAACACAAGGGAAAGCAATGATTTACATTGATATAACTATAATATGAAGTAACATACAACTAATTTAAAAACAACAGTTGGATAGCTATTCCCTACTTTATTGGTTAGGATTTTTAATTGCATAATGCAAACTGTTGATTTTCAAAAAAAACGTTCATGCCCCGCATTCCAATGCTGGAGCAGAAAAGCTTGAAATACCTACCAAAACACTTGAATAAAGACATACTGTCAGTATGGAAATGCTCTGTGCAGGTGTTAATCAAGTTAAATCCCAACAGCCAATCAGCAAGAAATGCTGTGTGCAGGTGGAAATGCTCTGTGCAGGTGTTAATCAAGTTAAATCCCAACAGCCAATCAGCAAGAAGTATAGAGGAAAGCTGCATGCCTATTGGTTGATGCCCTGCATTCCATTGTGATGACTCATGCCCAGACGTGTAAACACGGCACACTAACACAGTAATACATTTGCTATAACACAGCCAAAAAACTCAAATAAAACCATTCTAAAAGCCTGTATCACAAAAATTTAAAAAACGCCTAGGGCTATTTGCCCACTGTACCTCCATACCAAATTTCAGGACCTTAGGCCCTAAAATGAAGAAGCTGAATCCATTTAAAAAATGGCAGGAGAAGAAGAAGAAGAAGGAGAAGGAGAAGAAACATCAGAAAAAGCAATATGGGTTCACCACCACTTCGTGGTGTGGTGAACCCATAAAAAGATTACTTCAGATCTTAACAATGGGAGCAAAAGCGCTGTACCTTAAGGAAGAAGTTTATATCCTCTTCAGGTGGCACATCCCTACGGGGTCTTCTGATCTTCTTAGCAGAAGGTTTAGCTGCAACAAAAATAGCACTATGCTGTCACATCTGCAAAATGTGACGCACAGAATGACAAACCAATAAGAGCCATATGCAAGCCATGTGGAAAATCATGCAAATCTCGTATTCTTTAGAAGATTATATACAAGGTAACATTTGTTACAACATGTTGACCCTTGAAGTTCGCTGTGAAATTAAAAGAATAGTTGTGGCTTCACCACACCATTGTGTTCCCTCATGTGAGCAAATATGCATACTCACGAGGCTTCATGCCTGCCATAATCTCCCTGGCCTTATCCACGTATCCAAGCAGCTTCTTCAGTAGGATGTGAGCAAATCTGTTCTCAAGTAGGTTCATCTTCTCCTTCTCCTCATTCACTTGTCTAACAGAGAGAGAAGGTATACTACTGTTAAACCTAAATAAAGTTACTTGTTTTGGGCATGTCTCTGCCTAATGTAGCGAGGGGAGATTTCCAAAAATTTGTTATTGTCGTGAATGTTTTTAGATACAAACATTATCCTTCATCAAATACTACAATGGCTGTGTTTATGTGCATATGGAGGTTGAAAAGGTCTCATTAGTGTGACGTGACCCATGCCCCCAATAAGTTTGAGTTCGAGCAGAAGTTCGGGCATTTCGGGTTTTGGGCATACTTCTGCTTTTGTCAATGGCCACTTCAATCTTTCACATTTACTGTTCAGTAAGACTTGACTCCTACAACTTTAACTGAGGGATCTGTCTGTCTGAAAACTTCACTTCAGTTTGCAGCAATAATTACCTCCATGAAAAATGGAGGTATTGTTTGTGGTGTGTCTGTGTGTGTGTCTGTCTGTGTGCCTGTCTGTGTGTGTGTTTGTGTTTCCGCACATTTGTAGTCAGCATAACTTCAGAATGCCTTTATGGATGATATTTGGTATGCTGGTAAGTCTAAGGAAGACGAAGGTCAAGGTCAAATGTGGGCCTCCTGGTGGATGACCTTGGTACTGCAGCAGAACCTCCGGTTTTTGTATCTTTTGTCCTGAACATGCTATGGGCTTGACTTTTTGGTGACAGATAGCTTTTCCTGTCAGGAATAAGTGGTGTAAGTTTGGTCCCCCTAGCAGCTTGTTCTGGAACTGCAGGGGACTTTCTGACAGAATCTTTAAAAGCCAATAAGTTCGGATAGGAACAACGTATTTTCATCATTTTAGGTGTGTAGGTAGCTGAGAGTTCTACATTTTAATTGAATGCAAATTATGCAAATGAGGACTTCATTTGCATAATTAATGAGGAAATTCTATAATTACAGTGTTTTATATAACAGTACTTTTCTACATGTAATCTATTTAAGGTTCCGGGTCGGAGTTTAATTCTGACCAGGGTTCCAAATAGTGCGCAGTAAATCGCCGGATCTGCGAGGTTGTCACGCTAGGTTTGGCTCCCCATAGCTCGGCGATCGCTGTAGATTTTCAACTAGGTTTTGAATTGATCAAAAAGCCTTGGGATTGTAGTGTTTTTCGGCGCGGTGAAGTTGGACGGCCAGCGAAGCGTTTTTGGTATTAGTCCGCGAGCAAGGGTGATGCGGTTTGTCGCCTGATGACCCAAATAGCTGCGTTCTATGTGGAATTTCTAGGGGTTCGCGTCACCGGATTTTGCGAAAAACTTATCGCAACAACCTATATTTTTTTTCTGTTTTTCAGAAACAGGAAGTAGTAAGCTATTTCAGCATATAAGCCGTTAGCCTGGGAAAATTCGTTTTTTCCAAGCAGGTCCGTTGAAAAAACTGCAAAAAAACTACATTTTTCGTATCCAAAATTTACGTTTAACTACAGTTTCTACCCAAATTATAGAGTCGACGGACAATATTCCAAAATTGTATCGGAAGCCGGCTGGAAACCTCCGTTGACTGATGTAATGAGATTTCCCGGCGTACTTTTTTTGGCGGAGTTATAGCCCTTCGGTCTGAGGGTGTCCGCCGGATCCAAAATCGTGAAAAAAACTCCGGTCCGAGACCTTAATCTGTGGCAGGCGGAACATCAACAGATACCAATCATGCAAATGATGACCTCATATACCTCTTATACTGTGTGACATGTTTAAGTTACTTAAAGGTTATAACCACTAACGTTATGCATATATTATGTTAATGTCGAGGTCATTTGCATAATTAATGAGGACATGTTGAAATGAAGTATGACAAAGGAGAGAAATTTTACACAAAAAATATTGTCATTTGAATTTAGAGAACCATAAATTAAACTAGATTATGCTAATTACGACCCTATTTCCATAGTCAATGAGACAAATAAAAAAACATTTACAAAAACTCGTATATTTCATGGAGGTTTGAGATCTCCGAATTCTTGTTTTTGCAGGGTTTTTTTCCAATTTATTTCATCATCCTTCATTTCATCCAAAGTTATCTACATGTACCTGGGGTACTACTTGTGTAGTACAGAGCACCTTACATGTATGAGCACCAAGTGGACAGTGATACTACAACCGTGTAATGTGCATCATATTGCATTTTACATGTAGATGATTGACAAGCTTTGTCACCACTTCAATTCCCTTGCATGCCTTGTTTGGAAGAACCCCCCACAAGGCTAAAAGGTCCACTTTTTGGTCCACTTTTTATCTAAAGGTCCAAGATTTATCTTTAAAAGATGGACTGATTCGTGTCACCAGCAAGGCTGGAATTGTAGGAAAATGGCTCACTTTGTTATTGAAAAAAGTTATCTCTGATTTTTTTCTTTGAAATCCTCTAAAAACACGCAGGAAATGCCATTTCAGAAGGTTCATTTTTCAAAATTTCCCGGGGGAGCATGCCCCCGGACCCCCTTAGGAACCTCGCGCCTATGGCGCTCCCTGGTCCCTCAAGCAGTGGGAAGAACTCCCCATTCAAAATCCTGGCTACAGGCATGCCTTGTCTAACCTGATGACACTGTAGCCATTCATCTGTAGGAACTTGATGATGTCCATGGCCTTGTCCCTATGTTTGGCCTTCTCCTTGGCTGTCAGGGTGTCATATGGTGCCAACATAGGGTGTGTACCACCTCCTTAGACAAAACAACAAACATAGAGAAACTCAGTTTAGAAGCCAATTTCAGTGGGTTGAATTGTATCACAAAGAAATTTTATGTCGAAATAAATGTAGGTTTATTTGTATTTTGATCAGACCTCACAAGGTCTTGATGAGTAAAACCATAGCTAACTGGAAACAGTCAAGCAAGAGGCAGGCCCTGGGACCATTCCTAGCCCACACACAACCAAAACAAACAAGAAATACCCTAAGTATGTACATGTTGTTTTTCTTTTTCCTGTGGACAAAAATATATTGTATCATTGTTATTATCAATAAAATGATTCATCCCTCAGGGCACACCAATTTAATTTCTTGGTTAACGGATTCACCAACCACCCGCTCCATTATTTATTTTTCTAGAAAAATCTGTTGACCAAGAAATTAAATTGGTGTGGTCTCAGTCAGATGTATTTGATTGAAAATAATACATGATGATCGTATTCTACTTTTGGGGCTGTAGACAATATTAGACACACACATTCAACCAAAAGCCTAGCAATAATTTCAAAAACAATTACAGGTGTATTGTACATGCATGTATGATGTATGTGACCAGGGTTCATAATTACTGATTTCTTCCAACCCTTCATAATTTGGAATTGTTCACACATTGATTGATATCATTTTTTCCCCCAAAACAAAATGTTGTACCTTTACCCGCCAGTTCTTTTTGCTTGCTGACACACCACACGTCATGGAAATTTTCTGCCAGACGATCAGACATGGCCTGTGAGTTGGGTACAGAGATGAGAAGAAAGATTCAGCTAGAATTAGACTATGATAACCTGGTGTGTTTGTTTATCGTAAGTACCACCATATACTTAAGGAGAATGTTTTAGTTCAACTTACCTCAAATTACCTTAAATGCCAAGAAGTATTGTGTATACACTTCGTATGTGTGTATAATTGTATATATAATGTGTGTGTGTGTGTGTGAGGCTTACTCAAGAAGCTATGGATGTCATGAAACTTTGTAGGTGGTTAGGTCTTGATGGGACCAAGGACATTATACACAGGGACCATATTAAATAAAATGAGTAGATTTCGGGTCCCTGGTGTCTTGTTCTGGTACTGCACTGAAACTTTGATATCTTGTGATCTGGACATACATGTACTACATGTAGGGCCTCAAATTTTGGATGGTAGACAGCTCTTGTGCTCTGGAAGAACTGACATTAGTTTGTACTCCATAGCAGCTTGTAGTGGAACAGTTTTACTACATACTATTTGTTTACATTTAAAATCTTCAAAGGAGGATAAATCAAGAACCAGTAGACAGATCATTGCGATTTTTGGTATGTAATGCTTGACATAATAAGATGAAAATCATGATTTAATCGTCTGTGTTCCATGAGAGGACTACTGAAACAGTTACTTAATTTACATAATTATTGGAAATTTCATAGTGGTAACTGCCAGGGTTCTGAAATTTTTGGTTCGGTTCAGGGCACGGCCTAAAAAGTATGAAATCCAATACAAACATGCGACTGTAAGGCAGTACATTGTACAAAGTTTAATAGATGTAACATTAAGTATTACACATCATAACATCAGACTTTACCACTAGTCTAAGAATATGTAACATACTCCCTCTAATTTCTAAGCATACAAAACAGTCTTTCCCTGCAAGGAACCTCAAGGTCTTTGGTCCACTAAAACAATTTTCAAACAAGAATTCGGAGATCTCATACCTCCATGAAATATATGAGTTTCTGTAAATGTTTTTATTTGTCTCATTGACTATGGAAATAAGATCGTAATTAGCATAATAGTCTAGTTTAATTTATGGTTTTCTAAATTCAAATGACAATATTTTTTGTGTAAAATTCCTCTCCATTGTCATACTTCATTTCAACATGTCCTCATTAATTCTGCAAATGACCTCTATATTAACGTAATATATATGCAGTGGTGTTAACCTTTAAGTAACTTACACGTCACAAGATATAAAATTCCCATCATTCAATAATATAGACTCAGAAACAACAGACAACAGAATTTTCACATTAATTATGCAACTTAGGTCATCATTTGCATAATTGGTATCTGTTGAACTTCCACCTGCCACAGATTAAATAGATTACATGTATAAATTAAAGTACTATGTAAAGCACTGTAATTATAGAATTTCCTCCTTGATTATGCAAATTAGGTCCTCATTTGCATAATTTGCACTTAATTATGTACAACTCTCTCTCAGCTACCTGCACACCAAAATGATGAAAATACATTGTTCCTATATGGACTTATTGACTTTTAAAGATTTCGCCAAAGTACCCTGCAGTTCCAGAACAAGATGCTAGGGGGACCAAACTTACACCAGTTATTCCTGACAAGAAAAGCTATCTGTCACCAAAAATCCAAGACCATAGCATGTTCAGGACAAAAGATACAGTTCTGCTGCAGTACCAAGGTCATCCACCAGGAGGCCCATATTTGACCATGTACATCTCTACTGGTACAAAATGTAGCTGAGCATAGGCTGGAGTACTTTTCTTACAGACAAATTAGTATACATATACTTACATGCACTATATAATTATGTAATACAATATTTTACTTAGAGACTAGACAAGTGTAGGTAACTAGATTTCTCAAAATGTGCAGTACATTACAATGTAATATGTGTTTTTTTCAGAATAATGACTGTTTTGATACTCAAATGATACTCAAAAGAGCGTTTGATACTCACAGTTAGTTCTCTGGTGAGGGCAATCACTGACATATCATATGGCTTGGGGTTGTAACCATGAGGAGACTCAGCAGCAGCCTGGAGTATGAAACAGAGGAACAGAAATTCTGATTGAAATGCAAACAAGTATCAAATTAAACGGTCATAATGTCTCAAACTAGAGTTCTGAGGACACAATTCCTTCACCAAGTAAAAGCATTTTATTATGAAAAGTGGAACACCATCTCAGGATATCTCAGGTTCAATGTAGTTACGTGCCACGCCAATTATATTACAACACTGCTGTGAGGATGCAAAAATAGTAGTCTCCTTCACAGACTTCTGAGGCAGCGAGGTTAATTTTTTTCTGGGAGCGACACGAGTTCTACTGCGGAGGGACGGTTTTCCTGCCGAGGGGCTCTGCCAAGGAGAGACGGTTTCACCGCCTAAGAAGTCTGCTTGCACTCAGCGGCCAGAAGGGGGATGGAATTAAGTCAGCATTTCATAGAGGCTAACATGTACATGCATGGGCAATTCACATGTTCATACAGGGGCAATTGAAATGTTTGCAAAAGGGTAATTCACACATTAAGCAAGGACATGTCTGGCACGCGCTTGCGTCACAGTTGGTTTTAGCTTGCAGCGTTCTACCGAAGGGTTGATCGGTGACCGCTAAAAAGTTGTGGCTCGTCAAGCAACAAGATGTGTGAACACCTTCCTGCACTAGGTGCACCTATTGTGGGAAGTTCACACATCCATGCCAAATGCTGTTAAGTGTTTTTTAATAGTCCGTTGTGGTCGCTGAGTGCAAGCAGACTTCTTAAGCGGCAAAACTGTCTCTCCCGGCAAAGTCCCTCGGCAGCAAAACCGTCCTTCCACGGCATAAATCAAGTTGCTCTCCGAAAAATATTAACGCCACCGCCTCAAGTCTGCGAGGCTACAAAAATGCTGTGTAAGAACCTCACCCACTTGCCTCCCTATCTTTGCTGCCTATACCCATCCACTAACTATCATGCACAACCATCCACAACTTCTCGAGTTTACACAATAAAGAAACATAATATATACATTTACTAACGGGGGGTATCCTAACATCAGACGCTTTTTCACGTGCTCAAACTCACGGCGCTCTATCGCTAGTTGTCAGAGAGTGGTCAGGTTTTGATGAATGAGTTCTGAGAATACTTGAATAAGAAATTCATCCATACTATTCATGAGCCCTACACGCTGCTGTTAGCAACAAACTCTGTGAGATTCGTGAATTTACCTTAAGTTTGTGCATGAATGCAGCTGCATTGTATGCTAGACAGTGTGCCCTAACTTCGGACGCTTTGGTAATTTTGCTCTCTTCAGGTGTTAATGATGAAACTAAGTAAACAAAAATAAGAATAAAATTTTATGTTTTTTTAGCTTTCTTTGGACAGTAAAATTGCGATTGTGCGTACTTCTCGTCTCACGAAAGGAGGGTAGTATCTAACGCAATCAGTCCGTGTTTCCACTGAAAACCCGGCTCACGCAATCAATGCTGTCCCAGGGGAATCATGGGAGATGCAGATGAGAGAGGTGTTGACGTTGTTTTTCACAGGTCGGTTCTCTACAAAACAGTCAGAGACCCACATATTTACTGTTTTGTAAAGCTTTATTCCTTGTGTATGTGGCAGTTGTGTAAAATCTTAGTACAGGTCATTTATTTCAAGGCACAAGTCACCGCAATGCAGTGAGCTCTGTTTCCAGCGCCATTGTTATGTTACAGTACGTCTCACAGAGTTTGTCACTTGCATGAAGGGCTTATCCAAGTATGTTGTTTACATTAATGTTCTCAAAATTCATTTATCAAAACCTCACCACTCTCTGACAAGTAGCGATAGAACGGCGTGCATTCAAGCGTGTGAAAAAGCGTCAGATGTTAGGGCACCCCCCATTATCAACCAATTTCATTAGAGAGAAAAGACCTACAGTGTACCTGTGTATTGGTAGATTGAATCCTTCTGGTTCTTGCAGAGAGTGCCTGCTGCTCGGACTCCTTTGACTTTTCGATAATCCATCCCCAGGCCAGCATGCAGCGCAGGGCCTCTGAGATGGGTGTGCGATAGAAATCTTTCTCCTGAAGACACACACACAACAAGAATCAGCTTTCATCATCAGCATGGTCATCACATACAGGTGCATGTGCTCAGCGGCTGGCAATCATTGCTCTGCATTGTTATGCTGCTGGTCATGGTGCCCTGCTATCCACAACCTATTGCTGATTCTAAACAAAATTAAATGTAAAACAAAAAGTAGTCTTTTGTCGGAAGTCAATATCATTGCTTTATGCCTCTACATAAAAGTTGATTGTTGTTGTTGTTTTTTAAAGTTTATTTAACCTTGAAGTTACATTGTCGGCCTAGGCTACTTTTCAAGTGTTCAAAGGGGCCAGGGGTCGCAATAGTGTATAAATACAAAATTTTAGTATTCAAATATCAGTACTTTCAAAACTTAGTGGATTATTGCGACAGGTTTTCAAATTCTGCCACTGAGGGTAATTTTCTTACATAAGTTGGTAGATTATTCCATGTCATTGCACCTGAATACTGGTAGATCTTCTGAATAGCTCTCTATGGACCATTGGTACACTTGATTGTATAGTTATTACATGTATAGTATTATCTCTAGATGTTTAGTAATTAGGATGTTAATTTTCATTCTATACCCTTTTCTTTTTTGTACTTTTTTCAGTAGTCGTTGCCATACGTTGTACCTTGTACAATTGTCATGCAATAAAGTTCTCTATATAACTTAAAGGTACATGCAATTGGTTTGACACACTCTGACATGTTGTTTTGCCTGCACTGTTGCAAGTGTAAGTGAACATTGTAAGTGAAGGGCCATCTCAATGGTCCCAACAAGTGAATCACCATGTCATCAGTATACATCGATCTTCCACAGCTTTGAATACATTCAGGCATGTCATTTACATAAATGATAAATAGTAGCGGGTACGGAAAATAGTTTGACCCGATTTTGCTCTCATAGGTACAGTTTCAGTAGACTAGGTACAGTATCACCAGAGACAATTTAGAACGTTACACAATCACAAATGCTGGCTGACGGTATATATATATATATATATATATACAAATGTAGCAGTGGGGAGGACATGGCACCAGACACAGAGGAGAAGTATAATATATTTATTTTCTGTTGTGTTATTACTCCGTGAGGGAGGTCATGACCTCCGGATGGAGTATTGTGAGCAGGCGTTTTTTTGTACCGCCAAAAGGTTTCATTTCCACGTGCGAAAATGTGCAAAATGTGCATCATCTGCAGCCTAAAAGCAAAACGTATACCGAGTCCCAAAACAATCTGTCCGCCCCATCGTGATAAACAGTTGCAAACATGAAAACTGCACCCACTTATACAACCTTTCCGCGGAAGGATATCTCCTTCCCCGGAGGTAACAATACATACATGATCCTTGAAAAGCCTGTAAGGCTTCAACATCGGGTGTCTCTTTGCTCCTTCATCAAGCTCTTCACCAAAGGCCCAGGCAGCATTGTACTGTGGAAAAACAGGAAATTTCAAAATACAAGTCAGGAGCACAACAGATTTACTAGACAAGTATATGATAACACTCACACTTACTATCTGGTTTATCATCTGTAGCACTTCAGCTGGAGTTATATTAGAACATTCACTTTCTGTAGCTTCTGATCAGGATGGTACATAATGTAAGTCATAGGAAATGAGATCTAAAAATCCCACCTATGGGATGATTTGGTGACTCTTCAGCTACCTTCTTCAGAATAATCTAACTAACATCCCTGGTCGTAATTATCACCATGTCCTAATTATCGCCATATCTACGATGTTGCGGACTATGCAGGAGAATGGAACCGTCCTTTGTTTATCTATAGCGCAGTCTGTAAAATGGTTTTCCAGGTATTTACTACCAGCTGTAATTCTGCATTCACACGACTCTGTCCTTTGTGAGATAAAACTTCACCCAGTGACCTCGCTGAGTCATGCAAGGTGGCAACTGGTGAAGCCTGTATCCTCTAACAAAACCAGCAAAATTACAGAAACTATGGCACACTTGCCACGTTTAACTATGCAGCATATATATCAACTATCAATCTCCTGTCTGCAATGTGTATCATTTGAGAATTTCTAATCTATGGTGATAATCAGGGCACGAAGTCAGGAAATACACATGGGAACAAGATCAACATGGTCCATGTCATGCCTCACCTCAAAAGTACAGCGATCATCAATGAAGAAAAGATATATTGCACATAATAATAGAGGTATAGTGCAACAGTGCTATGACTAACAAATTGTCAAGTTGGAGTTTGTTTATAATCTATTGCCACGACAATTCAAAATTTGGAAAATATGGCAAGAGTTAGGCCCAGGGATGTTATTGTTAAGTAGAGAACATACAATGAAATATGTATCAAGAGGGTGTAATGATCCAGAATACAGTGGGTTTGATGTGTATAAGGACTAAAACATACCTTGTACAGTATTATGGCAATAAGCAAAGAGGTTCAATCAGAAACTCCTTAAGTCCAAGGCATATTCCCCTGGGAACAACTCAGAACTTCCCAACTTGTGATTCAAGTTAAATTCTTATTAGATCCATGGATTGACTTGAAACTCAGGATATACAATGTGTATCAATGGGAAACTAATCTAAACTGTTTTTGGCATCCTGATGGCAATTTCTGTTGACATAGACTTTGATCGCAGTCTCTACTGATCTGGCAGAATCACGTGCACCTACAGCGTAGCACACTTCTACTTTTTGCAGGTTCTTATTACAATATTTCCTCCTCATGGAAATCACATTCAAATCTTTATGATGTTTTTAAAGCACAGCAATGCCAAGATGTCGTCCTATGAATACTGTAATACAGTTTCACTCAGCTTCAAACAAGTAGTGACAAAGACAAACAATTATGAAGCTACTGTGTGAATTTATGTTATTTTTGCAGCTTTGCACTTAGGCCACACCAATTTAATTTGTTGGTTCTCGGATTCGCCTCTTCGTTTTTTCTGATTTGCAAAAAAAAAAAAATGATTCTGGTCCTGAATCAACTGAAAAATGCTCATTTTTGCCCTCCCAACAGTTGAGGAAAGTCCTTTTCTTCCTAGTTGTTACAGTTTTCCCATCTATCATTGCAGTGGTTTGATTAAAAGTTCAAAATTCAATGTTTAAATTTTAACCCAGCCTTTTGTGTTGACTTCATGGCTCATTTTGTAGCATTTAAGCCTATAATAGGATGCCTATACCTGTTTTTATTTTTATTTTTTTTCGCCCTGTCGCTTCATATTTTTTCTGAAAAATTCCGAGAACCAACAAATTAAATTGGTGTGGCCTTAATTTCAATATTAATGTGGGAGGGGAAAGGAGGTTTTCGCGGTCAAGTTTGCAATTGAATCAACTTTGTAGGACAATAGAATTATACAATATACATATTCTAGGGTCATGAATATCATGGTAAGAGCTCACATGACAATAACACAATCATGGTCGTATGTGGATGACGACACGCAGCATACGCGGGAATTGGCACACAAACATCTCACCAACTGCAGTCGAGACTTCACATGACTTCAGAAGTCTTGGTCACATGCGCGAGAAGTCCAGTGCACAAGACAGTCATCTGTGACACATCTAATATCTGGAGCTCGACATATGTGTGAAACTGCATTAAACCACCAGGATGATTCCGTCTTTATTGAGTGAGGATGATCGTCAATATCTTCTTGGGTTACCGTGCATAACGATGTGGCACTGGGGGTACAAATGACCTATAGTATTTGTTTACCTTGGAAGTGCAAGAGCAGAAAATTCAGTATATAAGGGAAAATGTACACACAACATTCATCCTTGTCCTGTATAGGAGATATCGCCTTGATAGTGTGCCTACTTTTATGTTGTGTGGTAAGTGTCTGAATTTAACTGATCCAACTATGTGATGTATATATTATGACAATTAATGAAACTACTTGTATTGCACTGCATTATTTTTTGTACATACATGTATTAAGAAGCATTCCAGCTTGGCAACCATCATCATATTAAGTTGGACATGTACTTATCACTTGTATACATAATATTTTTTGTTTTGGTGTTTACATATCAAACCAACTGTATTCTGAAGAATTATGTCCACACGATGAGCATTTTTTCCCTTTGTCATGATGTCCCTGTCAGTGAGTATTTCTCTATCAGATTTAAATAGACCATTTTTCCTGGATCTGCTCTGACTCCCTGCTGCAGAATGGTGTTGCAACAAGGATGTCAAAAGAGTCTAAAAGTCCACAATGAACAGATTACTTGTTGATGATTTTGTTTACAAGTTCTTGCATATCTGTACATCATATTCCTTCTACCACTTAAGAATCTGCATAAAGGCACTTGTGTTGTACCTACCTTTTCATAAGCCCACATGTCATGAGTTTGCTCAGCAAGTTTATTGACAAATCCAGAGAAGTCAATGGGCAGAGTGGATCTGTGAAATAAGCACATACATAATATATCAACGGAAAGTAAGTTACCACGGAAAACAAGCAAAGTACATCTGAATGTTTGCCATCTACAACACTTCCTAAATTGATTATGATGCTGGAAGTCTGAAGTTTAAGAAGAATCCAGAGAGGTCTCCAGAGATGAATGCTTGGTGGAGATCCAAACAAATGCCTCATAGCTGAGGTTTTCCATGATGATTACTAGAGATAAATTCAATAGAATGCTGTAACCAAAACTGGCACCATCTCAATTCATAATTTTTGGGATTTTGTTAAGTTTTCAAAGTGTGTACTTTGAATGGAAATTTCCGGTATTTCTTGTACTAAATGCCTAAACTATGCATTTATTTGTGGACACTTCATTTTCACACAGAACCCAAAAATATAATAAGGCCACACCAATGCAATTTCAAAATCTCATTTCTACAACACTGCCACACCACTTTCTGTACCCCAACTGTTCCAAATTGAATGCTAGATCTGTCTTTTTTACTTTAGGACACATAAAAATAAAGCCTACATGGTCGGCTTTGTTGACTATATTGAGTTTACATGGGCAGTCCAATTGAGATCGGCTTGCTGGATCATGATTAAAACTTTAGCAAACTGCTTCCAAATATGATAGTCCTACTGACATCTGTGGAGATGGATTTCTCAAAAAGAATATTACCATTACGTCGATGAAGGTTAGACATCCAGGTAATGCGATATGCCAAAAAGCTGGATATGATTTTGGAAACGGTCAGACGTTTCAGGCAGTATATCCACTACCTTTCGTGCTTCTGGGTATAGAGTCACCCAATAACATGTCATCTACAGTACGTAACGTACATGTACCTCCAGCTATACTCTGACCCCACTAACTAGTACATGACTGTATATCTGTGATAGGTTTTCCACTGCATTTATCACAGTTGTATGGAAGCTCAGAAAAAGGAAAAATGTTAAACTTTGAGAAAAGAAAGCTTGGGCACTCAACATATTGTTAAACCTTTTTTGGAATATATGTAGAAACATACACGTAACGGGGGGGCCCTAACATCAAATGCTTTTTCACACGCTCGAACTCACTGCGCTCTATCGCTAGTTGTCAGATAATGGTCAGGTTTTAAAGAATAAATTTTGAACACATTTGTGTAAAGAACATACTTACTGCATCCATACTGTTCATGAGCTGTTCACCCTCAGCGTTACAGTGGCAAACACTGTGAGACATTTTCGAGAATGGCCGACACTAGAAGTGTGTCCTAACTTTACATGCTTTTGTAGTTCTGCTGTCTTCAGAACGTAGCCATGAATTTAAGTAAACAGAAATATATTTATGATATTTTAGCTTTCCTTTGATGGTAAAATTGCGATTTTGTGTACTCCTCGTCTCATGTGAGGAGGGTTGTATGAAATGCAACCAATCCGCGCTTCGACTAAAAACCAGGCTTACACAATCAATGCAGCTCCATGGGAAATGCGACAGTGGTGTTGATGTTGTTTTCTCGGGTCAGTTTTCTACTAAACAAACTTTCAGAGACTGAAATTTCTACTGCTTTGTAAAGCTTTATGTTCTTATGTATGTAATATGTAGTAGTAACTACCAAATGTGTGACTGCTTGGCAAAGGTTGTATTTTTCAGGGCACAAACCGCCGATACCAAGTGACCCTCTTTTCAGCGCCATCATTATTATAGAACTATACTTAGCACGCAAATTACAGCTGTATGCATTGGCTATGTTTATCAACCTTTTAAATTAGCAAAGCTAGTGTCAACAAACACGGCATAATTCACTCACTTATGCATGATAAGATCAGTGAAAAATTTCGTCCAATGTTAGGGCACATGCGAAGTTAGGGCATCCCCTGTTAAGCATGCAAAGTTGGACAAGACAAAAACACGGCTGTATAAACAACAAGAATAACAGAACATCTTTAATTGAAAGTGCATCCAATGACACATACATGTACATGTTCAGTCAAACCTGCCAAGGCAACCACCTCTTCAAGTAAACTTTCTGGCCATGGCAACAGCTTTTTCTCGGTCCCACATATTTTCCCTGCTGACTCAAGTGTATACTAGTGACCTGACCACAGTGACCACCTGGCCAGCACAACAACAACTGCCAATTTTTGCTCAGTGACACTTACTTGTCAATGTTTACTGGTACAGGCACATAGTTGCCCTCCTTGTCAGTGTGACTGTATCTCTGCCAGCTCTCATCATCTTTTACCAGAGCATAGTCTGGCGACAGGGCACAGGCGATGGCCGTCAGACAGGGCAGAGTTTTGGAGAACAAGGATGGTTCATAAGGCTAAAAAAAACAGACGTGGAACATAATAAATGTTAAGTATCTCCACTATACTACTGGCTTTTGTATTATTACTGATTAAACTGAGTTGCTTTTTAAATTTTTGATTAATGATGCTCACACATGGACATAGACTCAGGAACTGATACCAGTGTAAAAGACCAGCCTACAATCCTGGCAAGAAATATATAAAAAGTATATAACTCTAGTTCACCTAAAAAACTACAAATTTTCAAATTCCTATTCCATTAAATTAAATATAACATGTACATCATAAGTGACAAACATACTGTAGTCTATGATATTGACAGAATAACAGAAAAAAGCAGTTTTAAATTACTGTTTTGCCAGGTTGATTTCAATTCACTTTTATCAGAAAACACTAAGATTTAGGTTACAGATATTAAACTTTACCCTCTTTGCCAAGGCATCAAAGACTCCAGAAAACAGGTTCATTGTCAGTCTTTTCTCCTCATCACTGGCACAGCCATAGTCTCCCCATCCTCCCAGTGTGCCGTAGTACTTGGAACATCTCTCAAAGTGAAGAGTTAGCAGCTAGGGAGACAAAATCAACAATCAAATCAACAGAGTTATTCATTGGTTGTCAACTCTAATATCGTACTGACTAAAATTTCATTAGCTCATCTAGGTAGGTTCTGGAACTTGAGGGCATCACCTCTTTGTCACTGTAGCTTTGCTAATGTCAAGAAAGAAAATGATAGAAAAGACCTTTATGTACACTTTCCTGTTGTGAGGTATGAATTAAGATGCTTTGGACATCAATTTTGGTAAGTTCCAATGATTGGGGTTATGATCAGTGGACGACCTTCCACTTTCCTCAGGGCATTTTGGACTGCTTCTACTACAAACTACAGCTACAGGTACAGCTACAGGTACAGGTACAGTGTAGGTGTCACTGCACTCAGTCTGGAAGGGCTGCAGTCTCAAATGTGGCCGAGCTTGTTTCCTTCCTCATGATCATCACAGTTCATGATTGGAGATTTTCTGATCCATGCCACCTTCTTCATCCAGCAAATGCATCCATTGTCCTCTTTATAACTTTAGCCCCCTCAGAGTACATGTATTTTACACTGTCAGTTGTTTTTTTGTGGTATGCTAATGACTCCATTGAAAACGTTCAAAAGCTAAAGGAAAAACATTCAAAAACACCAATCAGAACTAAGGGCAACTAAGGACATACAGTAGTATTTGGATATTCAAGATGGCGACTTAACCTGATTGAATTTGATAGCAGTGGCTTGTGTTTATCTTCAAATAGACTGGTAAAAATCGCATTGTCCAATGGCTGATCCTTCCCTAGAAAACTGTATTCCTGTGGTTTATGGCTTTTAGATGTGCTCCCCTTTGTCTTTGCCTATTCTGGGCGCCGAATATGCGTTCCCTGAGCACGCCACTTCAGCAAATTGCTATGGAAAATGACACTGGCCTAAACATTAACCCTGAAAGATAATGTTTTTACTCAGACAAACATAGGTCGTATTACTGTATGCAAAATGTGCTGACATTGATTGTTTGCAAATTAACAATAGCTGGACAAACTGGCCAGTTCATAAATCAATTTTACCACACCATTGAAAATGTTGGGGTTGCTTGGGCAGGTATGGGGCCATGAATGGACTCAACTCCTGGCGGTCGTGGGTGTGTTGTCCAGGTGGTCGCCCTAGCTAGCCTGAGCAGGTTGCTTAATGCTAGCATCAAAGGGGAAAATTTTTGGGACCGAGAAAATCTGGTTGCCATGGCCAGGTGGCCGGCATGAAGAGGTGGTTGCCTTGCCAGGTTGGACTGTTCCTGACAGACTTATGATCCCTGTCACCTTATCTATTTTAGATAACTCCGAGTACTGCTCCATCCACATAAATGTACCCTGAAAGGTCAAGCTGAAGGATACATTGCATAACACACGTCAAAAGAAATAACTGATAGAAAAACCAACACAAATTTTAAAAAAAACACGAAGGAATGAGATCTTTGACCTGCAGCTTTTCATTAAGATATTAAGTCTTTCAAACTTTAGACAAGTTGTAGTTTGGGTAGAGAAGATAATGAGAACATCAACATCACATACTTTATGCAAATGACCACCTTATTTGTGCATAATCAATGAGAAAGTTTACATGTAAGCCTCAAGTTTATGACATGTCAGTCATGAAGGTTAACATTATTTGGCAAAACTGTGAGGTTGTGGAGCTAGTTGTTCAACTTCAACTTGGAAACCATAATTACAAATTAATAATTGCTGTAGCTGAAGACCACCTGTCCTATTACTAGACAGGATTCTATCAATCCCGATCCTGTCGGTTGTCCAGGTTTGAACTGTAAATTTTGTTCCTTTTTTCATAAAGGTTGGCTTTTCAGAGGGTACAATTAAGGTTTACAATCATTATGCTATCATTCTCGAAGTACATGTATATTAGTTTGGTCAAGCTAGAATCTTTTTCTTCACACTTCAGGTAATCATGTAGGAAATGCATCTTACCCTCAGCGGTACAAAAGTGTATTCATTCAAAGAAGGCAGATCATAGGAGAGTTTTCTCAGTAGTCTCTGCATCATGCTGGGTCGAAGCTCCCTGTAGGGATAGAATAATAGGTACTCTACTTAAAATGCCAGCAACTTCAAAAACACCTTGAAAATAGCTTGAATATGTACACGTCATCCAACCCTGCAGCTTTTTATCAGAACCAATTCCTTTAACCAAGTGGAACAAAAACCTAAGTATATAGTCTGTACTGAGTCCAAAATACAAATTGTAAAAGCTTATACCTGGCTACTGCTACCAGGAAGTCTGAGACAGTGTCCCTCTGTGCAGTGGTGAGGGACCTGCAGCGAGACAACCTGTAAGCCTGGTGGAGGAGGGAGTCGATCAGGTTGGCCCGGTGATCACAGTTGGCAAACAGGTGTGAATTTCTGGTCAGCAGAGGCAGCACAGAGTTGCACATGTATCTGTTCAGTGCCAGGGCCATGTCGCAGTTGTGCATCTCATCCTACAGAATCAAGACAAATGTTGAATCAACAGTCTGAGAATGTATAGCCACATAAAGTAAGTTTTTAAATTAATGGAATTAACTGAAGTGGTACATGTAAACAAATCATGACATAATGACACTCACTGTGTCCAAGCTGTTGGTGGACCTGAGATCTGGCAGGAAGGCCACTTCAATCAACCTGAGCAGCACCTCACGTGTCTCGATACCGTACACCCGGTCCAAAAACACCACAACTCCTGCCTTGTGTATAGGTGTGAAGCCTTGCTCCATTCCTTGAGCCACACCTGTGTAAAGAAACTACTGGTTAACTAGAAAGCCAAACATTTGCTCTGGAGCAAATACATAATATTTCAGTCCATCTCCCTCCTCATTCCAAAATAGACTGTTCCATGTGTATTGCTCTTCAATATGGAATGTATCAATACTCCCATGTGCTTTTTAGTAAATACATGTACAGTGCTATCAGTAAAATGTTCTCCAAACGGCCAAAGAGTTCGTTTCAGTAACAAGTATTCATATATAGTGCTTTTCAGTGTTAAAACAATAAAAAAGAATGAAGAATAAGAAAACAATATTATTCACCCATACCAATGGTATGAAGTGAAATATAGCTAAAAATACATGTACTGTGGTTTGGTACCTATATTTTGTTTGTACATGTAATATCACATAGTTACATTAAACAGACTTTTCCACTGACCTGTTGCATTGCTAGTAGATGCAATCATGCTCTGTCATCAACATATACCAATTAACAGCTAAAAGAAATTTTGACTACAACATGCGAACAACTCTCTCTCTCTCTCATCATCATGATCATCTCTATTTTTTTTCTAAAATCTATACACTACATTGTACACATTGCTATCTTGAAGTTCATGAGTTCGATATGTGTATATGTACCAGTAAATAGTGGGCTGACCCAAGTACTTCCATAGATACTGGCGCCAGTAATGGCTTTTGAGGTGATGTCATGAATACAAGCTTTATCATACACACCCAGCTCATGCTTGTGTTCCAGTTATTTTTCACACCAAAATACTGCATTGTTTTCGTAAATTATTATCAAAGTCCACAAATTTTTGGTAACTTCCAAATTGAATGACACTTAAGCTGTCTTCTTCTTCTTCACTCATCCTCATTTGAGGTGTACATGTAGCTTGTAAAATTCTGTCTCCAATACAGTCTGTCATTCATTGCGGACCGGAGCTCCAATCCTTGCAGTCCAGTTTCAGACTCAATGAGACCCTTAAGTGTTGTGATTAAGCTATCATTTCTTGGTAATCATTAATTGAAATGTTGTCCTAAAAACAGACATCAATTTTTCAACCCTAAATTCACGATTCTGTACATTTACATGAGAACAATCCATTTAATAGCAGGACTCCAGGGCCCAAAATATATTTTGTTTGTATAAATTAAAATGGTAAAAAAAATTCAATTCTAAAATCCTGCATCAAGAAAAGCCTGGGGGTATTTGTCTATAATCTCTCTCTATACCAAAGTTTAGGTCATTTGGCCCAAAAATGAATGAACAAAATCCATTGAAGAAAATGGCAGACCACAATCTCATTCCTTTGCAAAATGATGTTAATCTTTATGACAAATTATAGATTATTTCCCGAAGATGCAAATATATAGTATCCTCATTTTCTTAATTATATCAGTTGATTATGTTCTCCACCAAAAGACAGCCTTATCTGAACAAAGAATGCCATTCTAGCATTTCCTCATAAATTATGCAAATGTAGGCCTTATTTGAATAAGTTATGCTTAATGATGTTCACCTTCACTTAACTTTCAAATGCCCCAAGTATGAAATTCCAGGCAGTTACACTCACACTCACTCACTGTCCGGTTTATCGTCTGTTGTTCCCCGTCTTCCGAGTTACATGTACCATTATGATAATGATTATAGAATTAACAAGTAAAATCTGAGATTTTATACCTCCGGGCTTTTTATTGTATATTTCTATATGTTGTTTGTTATGTATAGTTGATGGTGTTGAATTTTATGTGTTTAGCGTTCCTGGTTGTGTTAACACAGGTCAACATTTTCATCTGCAGCCCATAACATGTACCCATGAACTTATGAAATTCTATTCAATCTGCCGCAATGAACTCGTAATGAAACTCAGAATGACAACCGGAACCGTTAAATCAGACGTTAAAAATAACGGCTGAAGTAGCAAGCCATCCTTATTGTCACTTCCTCCATTTTCCGCCAATTCTTCGTATAAATCGGGGAAGTAAAGGTCTGAATCCTCGGTAAAAATGCACGCCGAGAACGTCTGAGACCGTATACCGCGGTATTTGTAAGTTAGTAGTCGTAACTAGTATACGCCTAAAACATCCAAAACAAAGATTGCGCAAGAGTACGTTGACCCCTGACCCATTGACCAACCCGGAAGTTGCTGCCGATCACGCGTCCTGTGAACGCGTACTAAAAAAACCCTCCAAACAACATTTGTTGCGCCTCGCATACAGAAGATGTATGTGCACAACAACAATTGTTGCGCGCCGCAAGACTAAGAATTTATTGAGACCCGTCACCCCTCTGTGCGACTGTGGACGAGACCGACTATATCTGACACACGCAAAAGATCGACGGTCGCGACCCACTTTCTCACTCAAGGGGTGTTCTGGGGCCATGAAAAGGCTCCATTTTCACGCCCGAAAACACATATACAATAAAACAAAGAACGTGCATCATCTGCAGCCCGATAGCAAAACATATACCGAGTCTCAAAAGAATCCGTCCACTCAAACGTGAGGAATCGCTGCGAACGTGAAATTCTAAAACTCTCACAAAGCCCTTCCGCGGAAGGATGTCTCCTCCCCCGGAGGCAACAACATTTTCTCATTAATTATGCAAATTAAGTCTTCATATACATAATAAATATCTGCTTGTGTTTCTCTCATTCTCAAGACTTAGTACATATGTCACAAGCTTGGATAGTCCTATCATGTAATGCAGCTGATTTATTGAATTTCCTCATAAATTATAGAAATGGCATCCATATTTGCATTATTGTCGCATAATCATGTCAAGCAAGCTACCTACATGTACACCAGGGCACACCAACCTTCTCTCAACTGGGATGGGGCAGATAACTGATGAAGGCCAAGAGATTTTGGTGACTCAAATTCTTTGGAGAAAGTTTGATTTTCACTTACTACATTTTTTTTGTTATTTTTTGTAAGACCATAAACTAAGGTGTCTTTTCAACACTAAGGACCCACCTGCCCTGAGTTCTAAAGATGTTGGCAGCCTGAACTTCAAGGCCAGCACACCCTCCAGGTCAGGCATTACCACCAGGCTCCTCAATATGGCACGGATCCTCAGAGCCTCACTCTTACCCTGCATAATGAGCTGTAAGCACAAGTGTACTGAATTAATCAAAACCTTTAGTTAACCCTCTACTACAAATTCCTGTTCAATTGTGCAGACAATATTACAGTGACATTCATGTCGTGAGGGTCTGTGCATGTCTGCAACTGCCATGCATCAGCCCCTGTTGCCTACAGACGACTGATTGATTGATTGATTGATTGATATACAATGTATATGACATCAGCAAATATCATTGCATGATCATTAAGTTCAAATATTAATAAACAGAATAAAAAGGTTCTGAGGAATGGTACAAGTACATGTACATGTGTGTGGCATAAACTATGTGCTACATGCTATCTGCCATTCTGTTCTTACATTTTGGTCAGGAGAGCATTTCCCCAGCAGCTCAATGAGTGCTGAGTAGAAGGTAATGATGCAGTAGGCCATGTCCACCTGGATGTCACCTTCACGATCTCCTGGAGGTAGTCTTAACATGGGCAGAAGGAAAAATACATTAAAACTGGTACAAATGCTCAGCAGTGTTACAGTAACAAACTAGAAAGACCAACATTTGCTCAGGAGAAAATGCAGCAAATGGCTTCACCACATCACCCATACCAAAAATGGACCTATCCCCCTCCAGCACAAAAGAATTGTTCCTAAATCACCCCTGTCCAACATGTTAAGTGTTCCAATAGTTCATACCCCATGCAGCAATGGAATCTTCCAACGTCTTCTGCTGTTGGAACATGTGGAACCAGTGTTCTATTTGGAACTGTCAGTTGGGAATTTGGGTTTTCAAGCTACAATTGCTGTTATACTGATAGTAACGTTACTAAATGAAAGTATTTTAAAGGCCTGAATCTGAACAGGAGGAGAAGAAGAAGAAACACTATGAAAACAATATGAAAGTTCATCTGTGTTGGTATAAGTCATTATGAAATAAAGAAGCTTTCTTTCCAACAATGGAATGAATTAGGGACTTACCCCAAATTTTCATTTTAACTTCTCCTCAAATCATCCCTTAGACCATAAGGTTGGTGTAGTAAAAACTTTATTTCATAGGGCTTATACTAACTATAACAGACACCCATGCAGGACCAAGAGACAGAAAAAGAGCACATAACTCAGGCAAATTATCTGTAGAATCTGATATAACGGGAGGGGTCCAAAGTCCGGCATAGTTTTATAGATTATTATTATTATGTTATGCATGGGTGAATCCACATAATAAAAACAACTAGTTATTGAGTAAGACTTTATATAAAAAATAACAAAGTCGGTAAGTTTATTGAAGTTTATTGCTCAAGCTGCTAGCGATTTAAATATTTGTTTGAATTTAACGCTTTTCGCGGAGGTTGACGAGGGAACGTGTCCAGCACATATCCTTCAGAACTGTCAACTCATTCATCCTAGAGTGCGACATGTGCAAAGATTTTACCACACACATGAAAGGTGATTATTATACTTTGCATAGAAAACACACCATGGCTTGACATTGTCTTTATCCTTGGAAAATCGAAGCTAAAATAACGGGCAAATATTAATACGCCTGGCAGCCCGCCATCTTTGCTGAGCCGCTACGAACAGGCAGCCGGGTGACGCAACAGAATGAAGGTGTACTCGTCGGTAGAGCGCCGACTATTCCCGAAAATCAAACCCAACCTGTTAAAAGAAAACCCGTAGCCACTATTTCTGCCAAAAACAAGGCTGAAAAGACGATCAAGTCAACCGAGAGCGGATATATTTGGGAGCATGCAGTTGTAAACAACGCCGCCATTTTGTTTATTAGCGGCGGGGTGATCTCGCTTTCACCAAGGGAGACTTGTATCTAAGCGCATTGAAAATATTGTAATAGAAAATATGGCATATGTTTGGGATCGAAAAATAGTATTGCGAACAGAATATATTAATGTTATTATTATTAATGTTATTAGTGTTATTCTGTTTGCATGGAGTGCTGAAATAGTCACAGTAATGACTTGGTTGTTACGTATGCCGGAGTTTGGACCCCCTTTTGGTGTTGGAACGTTCCACGAGAACGCAAAGCAAAACCTGCCGTGACTCTCGCGTGCTGTCAAACTGCTTTGCGGAACGCTACCGTGAAATGAAATATAAGTCTGTACAGCTTAAATCACGGATATATTGCTGTTTTAAGATCTAACCTTATTTATGATGGGTTACGGGTCAGATATACTGTAACAAAATACGTGCGTCAACACGTAGAACAGTATGCCGGACTTTGGACCCCTCCCGTTAGTACCAAAAAGAATCAGTCCTCTTCTTCAAACCAAATTGAGGACTAGTCATCTTACCATATTCCAAGGGTACCTCTGAGGCCCTTTGGCTCTTAGGTGAGACAGAACATGCACTGCAAACAAGATTCCTGGAACACTAACGTCCTAGCTCTGTAAACTCAGAAGTCTCGCAACACATTCATATTGAATCTCCGGGACACTCCAAATCTTTTAAATTAGGAGTCAAAATCCTTGATTCTGCACCAGACTTCTTTGCAAGGGAAATGAAGGCTACAGTTTACATTAGAGCTCACAGAGGCGGGGGAGATACAAGTTATCTGGCACGTACATATAGAATACAACACGGTGCATTCCGTATCGCCCGAGGTACCAGCCCGACCGCGCGTCGGATCGCCCGACGGCCGAAGGCCGGAGGGAGATCCGATCCGCGGGAGGGCTGGGACCGAGGGTGATGCGGAATACACCGTGTTGTATTTTATTTATGTCATACCCACCCAAGAATACGCGCTTTTCAATGCGAAATGAGCAAAAATTTGGTGTCCCTGTAAACCCCAAAATGCGACAACATCAATTCCAACATCCGGATTCTGTATTCGAATCCGGATTCTGTATTCGAATTTCGAAATCGGTGCACGCGGTTAGGCCGAAACGCGTTCGAATCGTTCTATGGAACATTTGGAAACCCGGGCCGTACGCGTAAAGAACCCCCGGGCCGTACCGCTAGTTATCACACGGGCCGTAACACCCGTATCGAACGTAATCGTGGCCCAGGTAGGACATAAATGTATGACTCACTACTACGGTCACGTGTGTCTGACGTCACATTTCAAGAGAAGATGGGTCCATTCCGTGAACAAGGTTGAAAATATGGGGTAAGTCCCTAATTCATTCCAGTGTTGGAAAGAAAGCTTAGTCTTTTTTCAGGAAAACAATATATTTCATCCATACCTGAATATGGCCTGAAATATGAATATCTCTTGGATTGACAACTGAAGTTGACAACTGGATTGACAACTGAAGTAACTGAAGGTTACCAGCAAGGCAGACACAAACCAATTTGAGGCATGATTTCCATTAGATTGTACCAACTGTTGTAATAAATATGAATTTCAAGTAGCATTGGATCTACAACTGTACAATGTAGATTTAGATTTCTACTTAAATGTTGATATGCCTAGAACTTATAACACTGAGAAGCAGTATCAAATATTCCCACACACGTTCCGTGAATATTGTCATCAGGCTGGTTTGAGCTGCTTTCTTCCACCTTCACCAGGTGGTAATACAGCTGAAAACAGCAAAACTGACAGTGAGGATATTGACTACATTAATTTTGTACATTTGTATTTGTGATAAAAGAATGTTACCTATCCTGAGGGGCAGGCCTATTCTTAAGTTCATCCTCATCTATGGTGACCTCAGGGATCTTGTACAGCTCCATGGCTTCCTTAATGGTGACTAAAAGACCTTTTCCCTCCTCCCCGAGGGCTGGACCAAGGCATTCTGGCCTGCGGATCAGCTGACGTACTACAAGCATGGAGTTTTCTTCCACACACTCATCTGTAAAATAATTTTAAATATAATGCAATTATGAGACATTCTTCTCATATATACAACATGAGCATTACACAGCTATAATATAGCTAGCATGAAGTTTGTCCTTGATTCTATTTTTACATTATATAGCTTGCAAAAGTAATTGCCTGCAATTACCTGGTAAAGACTTCTGGTAAGGCTTCTGGTCTTAAGAGCGAAGCAAATGTTCTAGTTCTGTAGATAGTATTATTCTGATTCCCAGAAAGTAATTGTATTGCGACCTTCACATTGAGTTCTGGGGCACTGGTAACCCCCAAGTAACATCCTGTTTGGCCCTACTGTGTGCTAAGCCTACATGATTGTATGTCATTAGGTGGCAAGGAGCATTGAAAGGCACGTTTCGGAAATACCAGTATTTGGCATGACAATTCATGACATCAAACTCAAACAAAGTTCAGTACTAAGAAAGCTATGTTCAATCATAATGACTGCTGTTTAAGCACAACATTTAAGATTTTTCACCTATTTGACAAATAGCAAAACTAATACCTTTAACCCAGACAGTTTGTTTGAGGAAATCTATGTATCTCTCAGCCTCAATGGGGTCCCAGCCAATGTCGTCACTCAGCAGCTTGTTGTGGTGTAGGCTGGAACGAGCCAGGTAGTTCACCACCTTTTCTAGATGGGTCTCCCTAACTGCCAGGGCCAGCTCATGGTTGTCCATCACTGAAGCTGAGGCCACATCCAGTGGGGTGGCTCCCCTCATTGCAGGGTCACCTGGAGGAGCACAACAAGGTACAATGTGACATGGATCAGGTTCTGTGCTGTTATCTGTAGTAACAACATCAGCTTTTCAAGGATTCAGGTGTTAAAAAAAGCTTAACTTGTTTTCTCCTAGAACTATTGTGGAATATAACTCGCTGACACCAAGTGTAGTTATAGGAGCATAATCCCAGATAGCTTGATTTGACAGAACTAAAGCCAAGCCAGGAGAGGCAGAAGGCGTGGGGAAAAGCTGAGGTCACTCCAGTGTCGCGTCACTCTCTGAAACATGACAACGGTGAGTCATCTGGGAATTCTGTGGACGGTAGTGGCAGCAAAAATGAAGGTTAAGTTCGATGATGGGCGTCCTAGCAGCTGTTTTGGGTATTGCAACAGAGCTTCAAAGTTTGAGGTAAAATTTTCCAGAAGTGTTAGGTTGATGATTGTTAAATAGTCGAAAGCTGTTGGGACCAGGAGTACATGATGGTGTAAATTTTGGCCTCCTAGCAACTTCTTGAAACCGAGAGTTATTTTCCTTTTGATGCATGTGTTTTCTACTTCACTTCCTTTGTTGTCTTCGTCAGAAGGACTATGAAATTGTCTCGCCGGAGTGTGGGGAACTGCGGATTTTGCAATATAACTCTGGAAGGCATGATTCGACGTCCATGATTTTTGGCAGGCAGATTACCGCTGTTAAGGCTAAAGTCAAGTACAAGTTTCGGCTTCGTGGGGGGTCTGTGCGTCACGTAGGTGCACCTTTTGTGTTTGTTTTTGACACAAAGAACACAAGAAACAAGTCTTCTATTTGTCAAAAAGACAAATTAACAAAACAGCAGTAGTCACCCTGTTCTGATTCTTTCCTTTATTATTTTTTGCGGCGCTGTCGTGACACTTTCAACACAGTAAGAATTTCTTGAACGTTTTTTTTCCAGTAACAGTCCAAACTCAAATAACGTGGGGGGGGGGCTAACACGGGTGACGACGCATCTGTATAATCTGCGGCAAACCGTTTCAGGGTGTTCTGTACCATAAAAATAGTACAGAGATTCTTTTGTTCTTTAGACCAAATTGATTATTAAAAAGAGTAAAGAATACGCATGTTAATTTCTCTAGTACGATGTACCTCTGACGAAGACATGAGATCTCCGACCTCTAGTTTATGTTTTATGTTGCGCAGGGAAAGGAAATTTGATCCCTTTTGTCTTTTCCGCTACAGGTGTATCCTCCGTTACCGGTAACTGAGGTTACAAAATGGACTTTTTGCTTTTTTGTCTTCCTCAGAAAGACTATGGAATTGTCTCGCCGTATTGTGGGTGACTGCGGATTTAGTGGAATAACTTCTGAAGGCATGATTCAACGTCCATGATTTTTGGCAGGCAGGTTACCGTTGTTGAGGCTAAAGTCAAGGGCAAGTTTGGGCTTCATGGGGGGTCCGTACGTCACTGCAGTGGACCTTTTGTGTCTGTGGTTTGTGAGCAAAATTACTCGAGTATATTTAAGTACTAGATGTTCATGATTTTTGGTAGGCAAGCTACCATTGTAGAAGCCAAGGTCAAGTTCTTAGACGGGCCTGGGGGGTCCCTAAGTCGCTGCAGTGGACCTTTTGTGTTAAATAATATATATAATGATCAATTGCTTACAATTGAGGGGCAGTGCTATAACTACTGTGGGGGGAGAAAAAGTTGGACATGTGTCAGGTCATCCCCTAAATTATAAGGCCAGACCAAGTAATTTTTATGGATGACGTCCACTGGAGACCTTAAATTGATTGTAAAAGTGCGATAAAATACATGAAGGGCCGAAAAAACTGATTAAGATGCATAGATTTGGAATATACTAACTGTGGAAACACAAAGGTTGAATAAAAGAACATACTGTAACAACAAACGAAAACAGCAATAAATCTCGCCCTGTTCTGATTCTTTCCTTTCATCACATCTTCTCTTATTACATTTTGCGACACTGTCGTAACACTCTGATCATAATTCAGTAAGCAGAATTTTTGGTAACAATTTTTTTTTCCAGTAACAGTCCAAAATCAAATAACTTAGGGGGGGCCTAAAGTGAAGGCTTTCTTGTGCTAGGGTTTAATACCAGGGATTTAGAGCCCAAATTATTTACTAATAGGTATTGACGGCTATTACATGTACATTTGTAGAATAAATGGTAGTAGAAGAGCTTACTCACTTAGACCAAAGGAACTGTTGTCTAGCAGGTAGGACAGGTGGTCAAACATTGCCTTCTGGTTCTGCTTGCTGCAGCGGCAGAAGTAACACAGAAACCTGCAGCTTTCCTCCACCAACTTAGGGAACAACAGCTGCAGGTACAGGAGAAGGGTACAGTGCTGTAAGTCTATGACTAAGGAAAGGGCTATATACATGTTATCTACACCACAAGGTTCTGAAGGGTACAATGTAAATTGTTGTTGTGTTGAGTCATATGTGCATCAGTGCATGATATAAAGGTGGAATACTCCATGCCTGAAATAGTACAAGTCAGCCTTTTGTGTACCTGCCTATACAGTACATATCTGGTGGCAGGTAGCTCCAAAATCCGAGGGACAGGACTGGTGGCTGGATTCCGCAGGAGAGCTTGCGGTGGTACAAGTTGTGGAATTATGCAAGACTGGTTGCAGGATTTCGCGGGAGAGCTTGTGGGATGTTGCAGGTACATGTAAGCGTACGTGATTTGCTGTTGTGGGAGGCAGATCGTGTCTCGTATCCCTCCAGGCAACAGAAACATTGTATGAGACCTTAAAATCCAGTACAGGTTTTAAACTTGCCCATCGTGATAGAAGTGCATGATCGCCAAAACATAACACACGGTTCAGCACTATAATGAAATAAAATATCTTCCACACCATATCTATGTCTCCCATTAGCCTTAAGTTATATTAAATGGGCAGCCTTGGTTGTATCTTTAGACAAATTAAACAAATATCTTCTATGAGTTTAATTGAAACTTTTTACAGCTCTGAGAAATTTCCATTTGAAAGTTCTTCCACAAAAGAATTATTTTTCAACTGGTATGATATTTTATTTGTTAACTAGAGTTCGACAATCTCATACCTCCATGACATGTTTAGTGCTTTCGTAAAGCTTATGCATAGTGATGATCACATAAATGGCTTACATTTACAATCTTGCTCATTAGCAAAATTTTTATACAAATTATTCACATAGCCCCTACCTAGTAACATACAACACACTGGTGAAATCCTTACCATTTAACATGAACAACGTACTAGTATGATATTGTTGGTTATATGCAAGTATGACCCCTGACATACCTTTGCCAACTCATGTTTGCCATCCAAGCAGTGTGTACTTTCCGACATTTGTATGACAGTTGTGTATATGTATAACACTGCACCAGACCTACATGTAAGGGCAGGATGCAGCTGCAACATTTCTAAAATTGTTAACCTCGATAATAGGACCATGAAACACTTGTGACATATGTAATTGAGAACGAGAACAACATATGAAGATATAGATTATGTAAATGAAGACCTAATTTGTATAATCAATTCGAAATTTATATACTTTCATAGTAGTAACTGCTGGGAATTTCATACATGCTGCATTTGTGTGAAGGTGAGCAACAATAAACATAATTTATTCAAATCATGACTATATTTGCATAATTTATGAGGAAGTGCTAGAATAGCCTTTATTTGCTAAGATCATGCTGTCATTGGGTGGGGAATATGATCAATGGATATAACCCATGTAAATGATGGTCTTATTTGTGAAATCAATGAATAAAATGGTATAATTCGTCCATCAATCAAAATTCATTTGGTGAAGGTATGAGATCGTGGCACTCTTGTTTTCGCTTATTTTTTGCTTATTTTTGCATTATTTTTGCTTATTTTTTGCTCGTTTTCGCTTATTTTCACATTTTCTGTTCACCAATCAGACTCCTACAGGAGTACTGCAGTAGTGCCGCGACTCTCCAAAAAAATTCCCACGACCAGTCTTGCATAATCTCAAAAAAGGTCCCGCAAAATCTCAGGTAACAACTCTTGATGCATACCACCAAGTCTGTACTGTATGTTTGATAGTCAATTGACTGCTTTGGTTAGCTTATGGCGCTAAAGGTTTTGTAGTCCAGTGACTGATGAGAAGTTTTGTTTGATACAACAATTTCATCTAATGCACACAGGGGCGTGACAACGCCGGGGCCTCGGCCATTGTTGGCTGGCGGAGAGCACTCCGGGGTGAGGAAACTTTGCAAGTCCATACCAATTTGTCTAAAGTGATTTTGAATTACGCTTTTTTCCTGCCTAATGGGAGCAGGCTCCATGGGTGCAATGGAACCTTCTCTCATGGCTGGTTGTAGGATGGCCGGCTATTAAAAGAATGCGTTTAACAACTCTTGCAACGCAGTATCAAAATTCCCACCTGCCCCAGAGCCTGTACAGGAGGCTAGTAAATTGTGTAAAATTTAATGCATTGTGTAAACTGTGAATTCTCAACTTAGTCTATATTTGTCACATATAGACAAATGCATCTTTATGATTATAACATTCAATTCTGTGACAGGAAATTGCCAGTTTGGATGGGTTATATCATATAACATTCATAACCTGCGTGTTATTAGGCCCACTCATTTCCTATAACCACCAAATAAACCAACTTGTTTCCAATTGAACAATATATGGCGGTTAAAAGAAATGACCACAAAAGATAAGTTTTCTTGCTCTGTACATGTCCCTGCATGAGTAGTCTTCCTTGGGCAGGTTTGACTGTACCTTCAGTCATATTCTCCAACATGTCAAATACACTTGAGGTGTGCAGAGAATACTGATGAATGTACCTCAGTAGATCCCTCTGGAGTTTTACCAAGCACATTGACCATGACAGTCATGACAGTTTCGTGGATGTTCAAGGCCCTCAACAGGTGGGGGTGCTGGTAGAATACTACATTGTTCATCAGGCCTCTGTTGAAACAATCAGAGATACATATTACAAATGTACAACATACAATATAATATGTTAAGTTCTGGGTACATCCAACAAAATGAGTGAAAATCTACAATATGTGTGAGAAATAAAAAGAAAGAACACCCAACAGCTGCAAAATACCAGCAATTAGATAGATGTGCCAAGAAAAAGGCTGTTTACAGTTGGTTTGGATGCTCTCACCTATGGTTACTAAAAAGGGCCTTCTGCGTCTGCTCGTAATGGTGACCTTTGCCCTAATTCAAGTTATATGGTCTTAAACCTGATGCATTCCTATACAGTTCTGCAAAATGTTCACCTGGCTGTCTTGCACGGAAGTCCCTGCAGCTTTCTTAAGTACTCTGTCACACTACTTTGTGCCCAAACAACTATTGACACGGGGTTGGCCCATAAATACTGTGTTATGCGACCTTGATAACGGCTGATAAAACACCACATATACAGCACATACAGCACACAATGCAGCACACAGATGCAACAGCTCTAAGGACGACAATCCCACCACCACAGCAGATGACCATGCCAAGACACACCAAGACAACCCTCTTGAAGGAAGTCTAGTGCATCAACAAATAATTCTTAACTTTCAAACCACTTAACTTGATGAAAAAAAAATATTGAGCCTGTAATGAGACATTAGAATCAAGTTCACCTACATTAACACATACATTTGTAAGTACTACCGGTAAGAAAAGACTGACGTGTGTACATTCAGCAAACAGCAAATCTTTAATTCTTGCAATTATTCTGGATTACTTCTAACACATCTGATTCACAACAACTTACGCTAGCCCATGAATCATGAGCTCCTCCTCCTCTGTTCCCATCTGCACATACAGTAAGGAGCGGATCTGTACAATAGACCCCAGCAGTCTGCGAACATCATCAACAGACCTGTCACTGATGGTGTAGGACTTCTCCAGGGCACGTTGCAGCTAGACAAAGAAATTAGAAAATTAGAGTATCATGTAAATCTCAGATTGTTTTCTACACATATCTCTGTCATATCCTACACAAACTGTCATGATGTTAGATACATTTAATTAATGGTGTCACTTGCCTTTTTCAAAAAAGGTACATGATCAAGCTGAAGACTGAGGTACATGTACATGTACATGTAGTAATATTTTTACAGTAATACTGTAAAAGACCACAATTTAAACTCGGTTGGTAGGCAGAGAGTTTATGCCTGTTCGGGCGAGTAGTCGCTCGTTCCCGACTCATGTCCTCCCCATACATGTAGGCTGTGCCCCGGATGCATCTGGTGCAAACCCCCACGGTCCGCCGCCCCAACACCCCCGTTGCCCTCACGCCCAGGGTAGGTTCTGGTGCACACCATCCAGTTTCCTCTGGATCTCCTGATTTCCCCAAGTCAATATCGGAACTCCGGTTCCCTCAGTCAACCAGTAATTAGAACTCGATGTCAAGATTGTATGATTCAAGTAGAATTTTCCGCAGTACAAGCCACTGCGCCGCGAACTATGGCCGACCATGGCCGAACTGAAACCGCGTGTTCATGATTTAATTACAATTCTGCGAGTGCAAATCGTTATGTATCGTTTCAGACCACCTCGCGAGGTGGTTCAAAATAAATCGCAACGGAACCGGTTTGTAGCGTTCGTGTTCCCAAATGAATCGATTTATTTTTTTAAATCGAATCAATTCGCAACAGATATCAAATCATGAACGGGGCCTTATGCCCCATAAATGGCCAAGTTATTAAACTGTTGAGAAGCGATTTGAGTTCAGATCCGTACCTCACCGATGCTGTCATACTGCCGGTGGAGCAGACTGAACATCTCCCGCACCAGAGAAGGGTCCTCCAAGTGAGCCTCTGTGGCCCACTTCACCATGAGCTGAGACACCAGCTGCTGCAGATTCTCTACACAACAACATAAGGGAAACAGATGGCATGGTCTTATATAATAAACTAGAAAAGGTAACATTTGCAATTACATGTTAACCTTTGCTAGGTCTCACCTACAATTCCTACATTTTTTTGGTAAAAATGGGTACACATTTTGCATTTTCTCATATTGGGTACTTTAAATACTACTCACATAGTCATAGTCACTGACTTGTATTTATTTCTTAATACATAGGGAGGGATGGGTATGAAAATATTCTGTATTTTCTCATATTGCAGACTTATAAATTGACTAACGGTAAGTGCTATGGAGTGTGGATGGACTTAGCCCCTATAGGCTTCTTTTATTTAGAAAAATAGCACTTTCAATGCAGATGAAAATGACAAAAGCCCTACACACACACACACACACACACACACACACACACACACACACACACACACACACACACACACACACACACTACA